GCTCGACATGCGCTCGATCGGAGTTTCGCGCCGGCTAATTTCCCACTAAATCCCGGTAATTCGATGCGCGCGCCTATGGTATAATAGGCGCAAAAGAGAGCGATCATCTTCTCAACTTGCTGATTCGACGTCGCATCTCTTGTGCTTCTGCCTCGGCCGCCGTGTGGGGGTCGCAGCATCGCTCTCTCCTTGCGTACTTGCGGTCGCGGCTCTCCTGCCGTGTGCGTGGGGGAGTCGCGAGTCAGCCTCAACGTATGCAAATGCATTGCGTAAGGGAAAATGCGAGTGCGGTGAGATCGCTTCTCCTTCTGCGATCCACGAGCACTCATTTGCACATGTACGTTTGTACGGCATTTTGCCGTTTACTAGGCGCAATTTGCTAAATACGTTGCAATATATGCGGGCTCGATCTAATGCGCCGGTGTGCGTTGGCCGCTTACACTCACACATACATTCAAGCGACAGCTCTCGCCTGTCTCTGTGTTTGTCTTACACACATGTGCGAGTACACACACTCGAGATACATATATGTGCGCTGTCGTATGCCTACCAGCCTCACGTAGCGTAGTGTACATTTAGTCTGTACCGCCTCTTCGCTCGCGAGATCAAGCGTCTAACGTGTTCGTTTGACAGTCTTATTTTAATTATTATATTTAAATTTTACCATACTTAATGCTAGGTTATTGGTATATAACACTTCTGCTGTTTTTAAAGCCCTTAACATTTCTCTTTCCGTCACTTTGATATAAAGTCAACCGTACTGAACTGCGACGCACGCAGTGACTAATTACCTACTAACTTAGCAAAATCATGAATAGTACAGCTAGATTTATTAACCACGCATTTTAGCAAGGACAGCAAATTTTCTTTCTTTTTACTTGTTAATTCTAATGCACCTTTAATTGAGTCAATAATTACACCTAAAAACTTAACTTTATTGCTAGGCACTATGGCTGATTTTTCAAAATTTGCCACGAAGCCTAAGCTCTGAAAAAGTTTAATAGCTTCATCCGCATGTGTCGCGCAAGCCTGCTTCTGAACGAATGGTTCTGATTCTTCCAGTTGTTCTGCTTCTGATACGGCTTGTTGTTGGATCTCTGGTTGTAGCCTTCAAAATACAGCTTTTGTCAGGTCTGTCCGTCGGTAGGCGTATTGAAATTGCCCTGGTTGCTCGACAGCGGCCTTCTGTCGAACGGGGGCTTCCCGTTTCCCTGGTACCTCGTGGACGTAGGCGCCGACTGCTTCTGTGCTTCGAAGATGCTCTCGGTTTCTTTAAACTTTTTCAGTTTGTATTCGAGGTTACTGCCGAACAAGGAGGAATCCGACCTTGTCTGCTTTAAAAATTCTCGAGTTCCTTTTGTCTCGATGAGTGGAATAATGCAGGCCCTTCTTGACTGCGTATGATTGAAATGAGCCTCTGCCATTAGCTTGGTTGCGTCGGCCATCCGGTCCAAAAAAACGTCAATATCGACGCCCTCATTGATGCCTTCATTGATTATTGTGAGGCCTGCACCCAATGCAGTGAGCGCCGAAGCTATTAATTTTTGAGTCTCATATTTGTACTTGTCTTTCTTCAGCGTCTTTTCCTTTCGCTTAGACCTCAGCTGACGATTGAGATCCGGAGCTTTGAGTTCCTCGGGCACCTCGTATTTTGAAAAAAGTTTGTCCTTCTCCTCGGACATCAGACTGTTGTGATAGTAGTATTTTAGGTTATCCAGAAGCTTCTCGTGAATGTCAACTTTGATTGCGCTCGACGTGCCTGGATCTTACCCTAGCACTGCTTGCATCACCTCTGACAATTTTTGATTTGCACTGGAAGCCTTATTTTCCTTCTCCGGCTCCATATTTTCATGCTCTGTTAAAAAAACACATCAGCAATCAGTACGAGAAAACAACTTTATTCTTCGTGACGCGAGAGAACAAAGAAATTGGCGTGGGGCCTGTGGGTCGCGAGGACCTTCAACTCGGAAAGGTTATGTACTACTCTTGGCATGAATATGTATTGGCTCTAGGCCTATCTGCTAAGGACTGCTGCTCTAAGAATGCGAGCCACCGAGTAACGAAAAAGACAAGTATCTCTGTCTCTATGGCGCCAAAAAGGCAATATGCCGCTGGGGCCACGATGCCACTGAGGGCAAGATGCCGCTCGCGGTGTCACGCCATTTTTTTCTAGATAACTTGTAGAATATTCAGTAAAAATTTCAGGGCAAAATATTGAAACCGAGCTGAGATATAGCGATTTGAAGTCAAAATTTTATTAATTTTGAGTTATGAAAATTTCGTCGTTTTCCTCGTTTATTTATATGTTCCCCCACTCGAATCGAAAAAATATTAATTATTTCTCATGTAGAATGTTGTAACAAACATTTTGATACCACATGTGCACGGTCGCTAATGAGTTAGGGGTATCTCGCTAAATAACGCACTTTTCGAGGGTAAGCCGCTCGCCTAATAAACCGACCCCAGATTCGGATTCAGCGACCCCAAAAACAAAGTCCACTAGATCCAGTCGGTGGATTTGAACATTTTTTTTGTGTGGCTTTGTTATTTTTCAAAAAGTTTTTATTTCTCAATACAACGTAATATTTTCATTTTTTATTATTCACAATTGATTTGATAGCACTGCATGGTTTAAGTTCACGTGTAAGGTACGCTTTTCCGTGACTTAAGCTGCTCATTATTGCACCGCGACACTATTATGAGCACCTTATATCTCGCCAAAGGGGGCCTAAACGTGAATTTAGCACGGCGCTATAAAAAAGCATAGGATACTTATAACTCAAGCAGCCCATTTTTAACAAGGCACTAGCACCCTCGCAACACAATGACGATAGGAACAGTAAAATATATAAGGAAATCTCTGGAATTTTTAATAAGTTCTGTGATAAATTCTAAGATTCCATCGTGTTTTAGTTAAAAACTCGAAAAATTTCCTTATATAATTTTGTGTTCCCGTCGCCACTTTTTGTACCTAAAATCATATTTCACTAATTGAAATTATCATAACTTTAAAACGAGGACCCATGGACGTTTTATTTGTACCTAAGACGACGACGATGATTATGAAAATATTCATAATTTTTTTTTGTAATATCTATCGGTATTTCGATAGTTGCCATTATCCGTATATATTAGTATTTACAGGAATTCTCCTGCCGATTTACAATTATTTTAAATCTTGTGTTCATCCCCCACCTTCCCATATTAACAATAGTTTTGACTTAATTGAAAAAGTAAGACATCTCAAAATCCCACCTAATTACGTGTTTATATCAATGGACGTGGTTAGTTTATTCACTAATGTGATGTTGGAGGATGTTCTATCTAGTTTGGATCGTAGATATGACGAGATTGCTAAGAAATCAAAGATTCCCTTTGCGGATGTCATTGACTGTACAAAATTTCTTTTTGACAATGTTTATTTTTCTTTTAATGGAAAATTTTATAAACAAGTCAGGGGTTCACCGATGGGTTCGAATATTTCGCCGTTTTTTGCGGACCTTGTATTGTCGGATCTTGAGTCTTATTGTTGGAAAAAGTTGCAAAAGGAATTTGGTATCGAGCCGTTATTTTCATATAGATATGTTGACGACGGTTTCGCTTTTGTGAGGGTTGAGCATATTGATACCATTCTGGGAGTGTTTAATGGTCACAATAGACATATACAGTTCACTCATGAGGTAGAAGTTGGTGGTTCTTTGAATTTTCTAGACGTAAGGTTTACTCGTAGTGGAATGAACATCGTTACTGACTGGTATGTGAAGGAGATTTCGTCACAGAGAACTATAAACTTCTTATCTAATCATCCTGAGCAATTAAAAATCAACACTGTCTATAACTTGGTAGATAGAGCGTTGCTCTTGTCTGACCCAAAATTCCACCGACATAACATATTAAGAATACGCAACATTTTGCGAATGAATGATTACCCTGATCAATTTGTGGATGCGATGATTGATAAACGCATGCATTGTTTAAAGCGTTGACGTCTTGATTGTAATAGCGTGGACTTATCACCGAGTAATCAAAAACATGTCATCTTAACTTTACCTTATAACTCTGAATTTGTCAGATTCACGTCTCGCTTGCTGAATAAGCATCGCGTGAAGATTGTTACTTCCATCGGTAACAAGATTAATAATATTGTATCTTTGGGTAAAGATAGAACCGCCAAAGTTGATAGGGTCAACTCTGTATATAAGTTAGATTGTAAGTCCTGCGAGGCGACATATATAGGTCAGACAAAGAGAGCGTTAAAAAAACGGATGTATGAACATAAAAATAATAATAATCCTGACTCGGTAGTGAATTTGCATACAACTCGTCACGACCATCAGTTTGATTTTGACAATGTACAGATCATTCATTCGGAAAGCAATCGTCATAAGAGCTTGATTGCTGAAATGTTATATATTAAGAAACATAAACACTCAATCAATAAAATTGAAGATACTGACAAACTTAAGTCTGTTTATAAAAATTTAATAGAATATTGTCGTTAACTGTCCTTTCTTATGTTTATGCGTGATACATGTAGTGTGTGTTGTAAGATGGTCTCAGTTTTATACTCACCGTCCTCGTGACTAGGTCTGTATAGTCTATGTATATTAATATGTAAATTTATATTTATCAATTTTTTATATTGACTGTTGTATGTATAATTGTGTCCTTAGCCTGATAAGATCGAGAAAACTCTCGACGAAACGTCGCTCAATAAAACACGAGAATAAATTTGACTAACTTGGTTTGTGCCAGGTTGACACCATCACCTTGTCTTTTATTCTATCATATTGCCTAAACGGATCGGCAGGAGAATTCCTGTAAATACTAATTATAATTTTTCGTTATAATAATATTCATAATTTTTTGTTAAAGTTTGCCAGCTTGGTGCTACTGCACCTCTTGAATACTAATATATTTCTCTATATTAAAAATCGCTATTTTTACCTATGAAAAAAATAAAAATATTTTATAGTCATAATTGAAGTAATTTATTTCAGAAGATTTCCGCTCAACTTTACTCTTGCTACATTAGAGAAGCTTCACGGAAATGGGAGATATCAAATTTTACGAAACAGCTTGAAAAAGATTAATATGTGCCTTTTAAAATTTAAAATCTGCAGTTTGTTTGATTTTTCTCAAAATTTCGTAAAGTATGACTGCAGAACGTTCTATCTTGATGATAAGCATTTTGATTGGATTAAAACAATGGAAAGTATCAATAACATGGATGGAAAGAATAGGATTGGATCTGACAGTCACAATTTACTACCAAAAGAAAATTTAGATGAAGAGCAAACAATTGGACCTTATGATCAAATGAGTAACCACCAAGTTGACTCTACAACTATGAAGAAAAAAAAACGAGAAATTGAAGATTTTAAAGAAGATTTTAGTACTATGATTCCAGAATATGATACGCAAAATAAATACAATATAAAAGTGCGAGCATAATATATTGAAAATATGAAATAAATAATTTTTTTTAATCACTGTATTAAATTAAAACCCGACCTAATCTTCAAATAATTTTTCCTATTATCAGCTACAATTCCGCACTAATTTTATGGTGCGGTAACAAAAAAGAGTCACAAAAAAACCGTTTCTGAATATTCGGGAAAAAAATTATGTATCAAAAAATGATACAAATAAGATCGTCTATAAAAAAATTGTCGGGGGAAAAATTACACAATAGAACATGCCACACAAAAACGCACTTGAAAGAGCATCTCAATAAAATACTGAGAAGGGGATAAATAATACTTTAATAATGCGAGGGATATGATATTTTAGTTTCTGTTATTTAGAACTGATACTTTATAATTTCTTAATTGTATTACTTGCACTTACGCGCAACTGAATGAAGTATAGACGCTCTTTCTTTTGATAGGGAAAAATACGAGCTGCTCTTGCAATGTTGTATGTTTTTGGAAATCTAAGTTCAGTTTTTATCAATGTAAACAGTGCCTCATCAGTATAATACAACTGATCATAACAGTGTGACTTATCCTTTCCTTTCTCACATCATACGATCATATGCGAGTCAACACTAGGGTGGTCCACTTTTTCCAAATTTTTTTTTATCTCGGGGGATCCATCGAAATCAGAAAGTTTGAGGTTTAAATGAAATTTCCCGTAAACTAGAACTCAAAACAATGATTTTAGATGGTGTCGATGGATTTTTGAAGTTTAAAAACGTGCTCCAAAAAAAAGCAAAATCGGGCTATCATTCGATTTATTTCAAACTCTGTTTAGAGTGTGAAAATAATCTTGACAATACATTTTCTTATGTGTTTTTGTCTGCAGAATCGAATGCCGTAGTCAATTTTGACCTAGGAGCACAATTTCATTCAAAAAAATACACTTTTTCGATCGTTTTTTTTCGCAAATTCCGCAAAGTTCATTTTCGAGCCAGTGGCAAATGAACAGAAAAAATCTAGAAAATTTTTTGACACCACCAAAATTTAGCATTTTTTATGACTAATCCAATGGTATGAATTAGTATACACTTTGAAATTATTTTAATGCAGAAAAATACAACTTTATCCCAAAAAACGACATTACGAAAAATTGAAAAATCGAAAAGTGTATTAGTTTCTTCCAAAGAATGGCTATGTAGAATCAACTATGGAAAAAATTGCATGAAACTATCTGATAGGTTTTTTTCTCACCTTTCCAACGCCGGCTTCAGAAGTTAAAAATTCGCAAGATTCGCTGAGATACAGCTATTTTTGTACGATGCATTTTTTAGCTTAAATTCTGCTTCGCTGGTTTTTTAATGAATAGAGCTAGCTCAGAATTATTGAATTTTTGCTTTTTTTTGGAGCGCGTTTTTAAACTTCAAAAATCCATCGAAAAAATCCATCGAAAATCCATTTTTGAGTTCTAGTTTACAGGAAAATTCATTTTAATCCTCAAACTTTCGGATTCCGATGGATCCCCTGAGACACAAAAAATTTTTGAAAAAGTGGACCACCCGAGTCAACACGTCCGTGAAATATTACGCAAGAGAGTGCAATGTGTTTCTCCGATTACGCCTGCACAATGGTCACCGGAGTGCACAGGTGCAAGTAAATATTCGTACGTGTGGCGATAGCGCTCTAGTAACTATTACTAGCACAATTAGTTCTGGGGACTATTTGAAATTTTCAGTGTCGCATGAACCTCACATAGCAACTGATACTTTGGAATACCAGCCACATATTTAGGTACAGGCTACGCTGGAGCTCGGTCTCATGTCCATGGAAAAATCAACAGCACATGAGTCATCTTTAGCTATCTTTAACAGAACGATTTCATTAAGGACATGATGCCATTTAAACTTAACAATAAGGGTACAGCATGAGGAATGGCTGTCTGGAGGAAATAATGTTGAAGTCAAAAATCATTTTAGCATTTATTTTATAAATCCTGCTTTTTTAGAGAAAGAAGTTATATAAACATTTTATATTTATGATATGTAAGTGAATAATTTTATAAGTGTTAAAAATTATTATACTTTACAAGGTATCCCATAATTCACTGATAATATTGTTATTATTTAATAGCAGGTGAAATTCTGAACAAAAAATACAAATAAATTTTTTCATTAGAGGAAAGAGATCATGACTTTTCTTCAATAGGATCAACATCTTAGTGAGAAAAAATATGGCTCAAAAAAAATTTTTTAAAACACCGGGATCAATCTTACAATGGTTGACCTTCATTTTGCTATCTTGGTTGAAGTCATCTCCTGGCAATAACTTGGGTCTTGACGATCTGATGTATCATGCTGCTGATATGAGCCTAAAGACATGTCTCTTAGGAGATTCGTTTTTTCGACTTGAATTAAGTGAGTACTACGTAATGAACCAAGTTCAATCAAATAAGTACAGCAGAAAAAATGGAAAAAAAAACAGCTGCGTGGTGGCTGTTTCTATCTTACCAATGTATCGGATCTTCACCCGCTCAGTACCTCATACTGATGCTCTTCAAAGTAAAGACAAAAAAGTTCTTGAAGAAGCTTCAGCTAACGCTACATTGGCTACTTTATGCATAAGGTTGTCAAGACCCGAGAAATTGCCAGGGTGTGATCCAATTTGGTGGTCCCAGGAAATCCCCACTTAAGGGGACACATACACATTAAAATCCTTTCTATTTCATGAAAAAAAAATAAACCTAAAATAAAAATTGAGATTGGTCAACTTTGAAGCTTCTTACTAACCTTATATCTATGTATCGTAACATTCAAGTTGAACCAATAACCTGTTCAAGTTTTTTGAGGTCTCTATATGATTGTTGCAACAATGCCTATAGTCGCTACCTCTAGCAAAACCATCCAATAAGTTAGAACCATAATATTCGCATAAAACTTATATATTTTTTCAATTTTATTTCATTTTATTTGAATATTTTCACAATTATGGTTACACAAAGACTTTTGATGGTGCTATTACTTTGTCTGAGGTATCAGCCGTAGGCATTGCTGCAACAAACAGAGCCCTCCAGGAACTTGAACAAGTTATTGGTCCAACTTGAATGTTACGATACATAAACATACAACTTAATTTGAAATTTTCTTAGTCAAAGGGACCTCCTGTAAATTTAGAGACACTTTTCCAGTATGTAGTGATGAAAATATTTTGTTTAAAAGGTTAGTGAGAAGCCTCAAAGTTGGCCAAACTCAATTTTTTATTTTAAGTGTATTTTTTTTGTTATGAAATAAAAAGGATTTTAAGGTGCATGTGTCCCCTTAAGAATACACAACTGTGTTAAATTCTGCAAATTAACAAAACATAAATTTTAAATGTCAATATCACATTTTTTTTTGTTTTTGATGTAAAATTAAAATGATGTTTTTACAATTCTTTTTATATTAGAAAATATGTCTGTAATACATTTATTTATTGAAATTAATTCAGGATTGATCTATAATAAGTTGCGAATCCATAGTCCTGTGCTACGTGAATCTAAATGCAATCTCCATTATACTTGATACTTGAGATCTTAGAATTATTGTTATTTTGTATTTAGAATTATTGTTATTTATTGTACTCAAGTAGAACAAAATTGTAAGAAAGCAGTGAGAAAATTTTTTGCGTACTTGAATACGAAAAAAGTTAAAACAGCGTTTTTCAACGCTTATTGCTAGTTTTTGAGACTGGTAAATAAATGTATAATTTAATCAAAAAGTTTCTCCACTTGGGCAAAGGAAAATGTTATTAAAAAGCTTTTGAGACCACACACAGAATTTGATAAAAATTGCATTCAGATTCATGTGGTACAGGATTTTGAAATCATAAGTCAATACAGATGATATATGAATGCTGGACTAATTTGAATAATAATTTTGTTGTTACCTTTAATTATTAAAAGTAACAAAGGCATATTTTCCGATGTAAAAAGACTTGTAAAATAGTGTATTTTTCAGTGTGTGTAAGTGCAGTTATGATTTTTTAGTAAATCGTGGGATATAACACGAGCCAACTGCCGTAACAATTTTTGTTAAAAAATATATCTGCACGAGATTTTTTCTACGAAAGCCTAAAACTAGCGGCAAAGTGGCGCATTTTAGGTAAGAGTGAAAAAGATGTAATTTTTTATCAAAAATAAAATATTTTAATATTAACATTTCATTTTCATTTTTTTTAATTAATATAATTTAACATAAGTGTATCCCTTCAAACCATACTCTCTCTTTCTTGAATAGTTTTCAGTTTTTGGATTTTAATTTTTAAAGCAGGTATTAGAGCAAAAAAAATTATTTTTCATTTTTACTATCTATCTAATTGTACCAATATTACCAGGAAATCATGGGGCACCTCAAATAACAAAAATGGTTTCGACATATCAATAATTAAAATTTGCCAGCTTGAAATACATATGATACGTAATTTTTAAATTTAAACTTTTTGTATAAAAATTTGTTTAAAAACATTTGTTAGCTATACCAATTGTAAAAAGACTGATGCATGGAAGGTCTTGGTTGGGGAAAATTTTGAGAATAATGATGATTTGAGAATGGATTATGTTGATGGGTGGAATGTAAATGGGCTGCTGCAACGGCAGCTTGGTGAATTTCATTAGGCACGGTAGACATTGATAACGATTGAGATGTATTTGGGGAGTTGAGTCTTGTTATATATTCTGAATTGACAGATAATGGATTCCACGCTTGACTAGTTGAAAATTGTTGTTGATATTGCGGATACTGATGCGGTATTGGAGATGCAGAGTTTGTTATAACTTCGGAGTTTGTTAATTGATCTGTTGTTGAATTAGAACTACTTGAATTAGGACCTAAAACGGTGACTAGGGAATTGGGTGTAGGTGGTAAATTATGTGGAAAATTTGACTGTTGGCTCAATGAAGGTGAAGCAACCGATCCTGGGCTTAAAATCAAATTGTGGACCGGAGTACACAAAGTGGATGAACTTGGAGTTTGCAAGCTGGAAGATGAATGAACATTAGATGTTGACGTTTTTTGATTTGAAGAATCGCATTTAAGATGAGGTGTGACACAGTGATTCATTGGTCCATTCTGAACTATATACATTCCTGTAAAATGATAAAAATTTTGCGCATTAAAATTTTTTTGTCTTTTATGTCATATATTTCTAATTTATTTTAGTTTTTCAATAGTTTTAACGTACAAGTATTTTACTTGAGATCTGTTAGTTATACATAATCATTAAAAAAAGTTGTATACAAAAATTTTACTGCATATACGAGTAATGTTGGTATAGTCATTTACCAATAATTTCATGGTTCACGCGGTAAGGTGACGAACTTTGAACGCCAAACCCTAGGATTTAAGTTAACTCTCGATCAAACTATTCATTAAAAAAAATATCCCATGATTTATGTAACAACATCGTGTCGATTGAAGTAATTTTTCACGAAAATAAAGAAAAGTAGCTGAAACTTTGCCAAGTCCTTGTAAGTCGTTATGCGAAAGCGGCGGAACCGTCGCTGTAACGTTAGTTTGTCATTTGGAACATTTCCTATGTTGCCGAAACGCAGTGAGAACTATCTTGATCCTGAATTACGAAACGTTTTATGATTTTAAAATTGCAGTTGTCGCCAAATTGTGGCTACTTTCCGTATAATCTGGGTCCTAATTATTTTGTATTGGACTTTTAAAAATGGTCGTTCAAAATAACCTTTACTTTATTTTTTTTACGTCTATCAATCAATCGATAGTTTTGAATGAGTGAACATTTTTTTTTATTTTCCAAGTATAAAAACCAAGAAAAACAGCTAAAAACTTATTTAAGAAATTTAATTGCTCATACTTTTAAATAAGTTCTTTTTTATATAGTTGATTTTAATCAAAATGATTCTCAGCTATGATATCATCAAGACTTGCGAACGTTTACCGCACCCTTAACTGATGTTTGACCCAATTATATATGCCGTTTTTTTATAATGTAAGAACAATATACTAATGTTACTTAAAATTAAAAATTATTTTTTTGAAGTTTAATGCTTTACGTAGTTACAACTTCATATTAACGAGTATTATAACGTTAGACCTGCAAGTAGCATACGTTATGATCTGAGAGCTTACTTAGTCTCTAATTTCGTGTTGCAGAGACTGTCTGAATTTCTTATGATGTACTTACAAAGTTAAGCGGAATCGCTATCTAAAAAAGTCATTCTTTTGTATAGCTGTAAGGTAATTTTGTAATCGCCATGACTGTGCGATATTAAAGCTTATCTTTTTCGGATAAGGGAAAAACTCATCAGATATCACTGGGGTTTGTTAGACAATGCCTATCTTCCGATAGCTAAAAAGGATTTGATATCGCAAATAGTTTACATTAGTTAACAAGTCATTTCTACAATTTTACTCGATTTTTCTGCCAGTGCTGCTCATATTTGTGCAGTAAACGCTCACTACAGTCGAATAAATAACATAGCAATAAATCGAATTATCAATTTTCCGAGAGTCACCATGCACTACATGCCTTAAGTGTTACTAAAAATCGCCTTTATTACCTTGCATTGTAGAGTGCACAGGGGATTTTGATAATGAATAGGTATTGAAATTATGAATTTCTGCAGTTGGTCCAGATGCGTTATTTACTGGAATAAAAAGTTATTTTAGGTTGAAACCATTATTATTGTTATCATATGTTGAACTTTTATGCGAGGACAGCATCGTACCTGTAAGTGAAGGAGGGTGAATGGAAAACGTTGTTGCAGCTGCGACTGCAGCAGTTGGATAAGATACTGAGCCTCCAAAACTGTTAGATGAAGACTGCTTACGTAATCGAGCCCTTCTATTGCTAAACCAAACTTGAATACGAGCTTCGGTTAATTTAGTTCTTTGAGCTAGTTCTTCACGTGTATAAATATCTGGGTACTGAGTTCGTTCAAAAGCACGTTCGAGCTCGTCAAGCTGTGAAGCTGTAAATGTCGTTCTACTTCTACGTTGTTTTCTTTTCAGTTGTATTCCAGGCTCACTTTCGCAATCAGAACCTGAACTTACTTTTCCTAAAACAAATAAGTTAGTTTACTCAAATTTAAAAAAAAAGCGTTCACTAGTTTAAAAGTTCTGTTTTAACAATCGCAGTTGATAAGTTGAGATCTATTGCCAATTAAAGTACCCATTTCGCTTAAAAAAATTTTATAGAATTACTTCATATGGTATAATTATTTTGAAAACATCAATCAGGTATTTCAAAGGAATTTGTATTTTACATTTATCAATGTTTTCATTTTAATGTAAATGAATTTTTCTATTTAGTCTCTCGTAAATACTTTTTAACTTATCATAATTTTTGCTAACGTTGCCTCGACTTAAACTACCTTATTTTTCAAATAAATTAGCATAATTGAAAATATTTTGATGAGTCCATTTTTGTAGTGAGATACCAAGACTGCTGACACGTCGGTCTTTACGTACTTCAATTAAGCATGGAATTCAATTGACATACTTAAAATAAGAAGCAGTATTTGAATTCAAAAACGCAATGTGGTGCAAAATTGTTGTACGTATTTCCGTACCGCCATAGCCTTCGTCAAAATGATTGAATAAGTCAACGTTATTAACGAAAACTGGCCCTTTTACATAAAAAAATGTATAGAATCGTGTTGTTCTTCGTTAACAGCGTTGAAGCAGAGCTAGTATTAACTATAAGATTTTTAGAGCTAAAAAGACAGTGAGAACTTAAAAAAGGGGAAAATCAGAATACAAATATTCGCAACCTAACTCGCGGGAAAAACGTGAAAGTAGTGAAGTAGGTGCTCTTGTGTATTAGTTATTGTTGATAGAAAAGAAATTCACAATGGAATTATCGACATGTTAAGTTGGTGTGAGGGCGCCGTGTACAGTGTGTAATCAGCCTCAAACGGGCGTGTAGGCTGAAAATAAGAAATACGATAATAATAACAATAGTGCATTGGCTAGCATAGGCAGAGTCCCGAGTTCGACTTGCTTGGATCAGGGCAAAAAAAATACCACGGAGGCAAATTAAATAAAAAAATAACTTTATTGTGAGTGAAAAGAGGGGAGAACAATTCGGAGACGGGTACTATGGCTTGGACGTGTACCCCTGCTTACGCTCGGAACCTTACTGATCCCACGACTGCAGTGAGCTGCGCTGCTGATGCCGGCCACTACTTACGGTGGCGCTCTACACTCCGTGATCGCTCTGCATTTAGCTCTGCTTCAATCATTTTTGTTCTATTCATTAGCATTTCATTGTGTTTTAGTATTCTATCTGATTCTTCTGTCGATAACGGTTCTCCTATTTTATCTTTCAACTTAAACTCCAAAGATGAAAGATAAAATAAAAAAACGATTATTTAATTGTATTTCTATTCAAGTTCCCTCTTTGATCAGAAATATTTCAAGAAAATCGATTGATTAATAGTGTCCAGATCGCAAGAACTTTGTCAATACATGAGTAAGTGTAGGCGCTACCATAGGAAAGTGGATCAGAGCTCTGTAGAGTGTTCCAGAAGCTAAATAGCCCAAAAATGATAATAAATGTAAAAATCAAACGAAAAAGTGGTTTTTACTATTAAAAACATAGAATGGCTTATTGATTATTATTCTTGCATACAGTGGCAGTCGTAGCCAAGAAACAGAATAATACGACACTGGGGTTTCAAAAATGATTTTGTACTAAAACTCTAAGACGAAAAAAGGTATAACTTTATTTGAGATTATCAAATCGTCTAGATTAGGGCTGTACGAGTACCCGAGTTTTCGAGTTTTACTCGACTCGAATTCGGCGAGTCGAGTGCGAGTCGAGTCGGAAACATTCGAGTATTCGAGTTTTTTTCGAGTACTCGAGTTTTTTCGGGTACTCCAATTTTTTCGAGTAATTGAGTTTTTTGAGTACTCCCAATATATTTAAGTTTTGAGTAAATAAATGAGGAATTAACCGTCTCTAGACTCCTCCTTTTGTGTATACGTGCTTATAAATGTGATGAAGTGCGGTACTATTAACTTATTTTCTTCTTCCAATCCAATCCACTGCGAATATCAAACTTATAAGCATGTACACACAAAAAGAGGTGGTCTAGAGACTCTTAATTTATCAGTTATTTACTGAAAACTTAAATATATTGCGAGTACTCGAAAAACTCGATTATTCGAAAAAATTTAAGTACCCAAAAAAACTCGAGTACTCGAAAAAACGCGAGTACACAAAAAAACTCGAGTACTCAAAAAATCGAGTACTCAACTCGAACTCGAGAAAACAACTCGAACTCGACGAGTCGAGTTTTTTCGAGTATTCACTCAGCCCTAGTCTAGATAATCTATTTATGTTAATTTTGCTCTACTTAGGCTCTATTTAGGGTAATTTCGGACATGTTAGTAAGGTTTCTGGAAAAAAACCAACAGAATCTTTCCAATCCACCAGTTTTCACTTCCATTAGCATTTTTGTATAATTCTAACAATTTTTTTACTAAGAAGAATATAAATCCTTGAAGGAGATTTTGAGGATTTTTAGTTAGCCACAAAAACTATATGGAAAAACTCAATCACTTAAATCTGATACACAGTAGTGTTTTTTGAATTACTGATATTAAAAATAGTATAAAATATTTGATATAATCATATGTTTTTTCTAATTTTATCGCACTTACTTTCATTGTGATCATGAAAGTTAGAATCTTGATCTCTTATGAGCCGAGAAATAGCTGAAACACTTGGGACGTTTGTTCTGTCACAAATTCCCTCTTTAATTAATCTATCTCGAACCTCCCATGAAAATATACTTGGATTTTGTCTTTTATAATTTTCAATCTTTGATTCAACTTCTGGTGCAGCTATTCTTGGTTTACTGCCACCGATTATTCCAGGCCTTATGCTCCCAGTTTCTTGATATCGGTTTAAAATTTTTGAAACACACCCATGAGATACTCGAAGTTTTCTGAAATCATTGTTATATAATAAAATCTTTTATTGAATCATAGAAATTTATGAAATAGGAGTGCAAAAGTTTTGCTATTTTAAATGATAAGGTGCCGAAATTATTTTTTGAAAGACGATTTCAATTACATGTATCTAATTTCTTATTCTTTTTCACGATAAAATCGTATACCTGATTAATATGAAAATAAATATGTTAGAACAATTAAACTAGATCACGTCAGTGAACGTGGGATCTATATTTTTGTGTATTAGACTGACAAGGAAACCACATGAGATGCGGGTCACTAAATATCCTGAAAATTTTTTTCTGGTTTCCTGGCACCTAATAATGAAGCCCCCTATGCTTAGTTTGATCCAATAAGCCTTAGGGCCCATTTTAAAAATCATTTTCTAGTTCATTAAAAAATCTTTGTGATTTTTTAACTCATAACAGGACGTCTTAACCCAAAAATTGCAAAATGTACAAGTTTTAGAATATGTCAAAGAATACGTCTGAATTTTTTCAGTTTTTTTATACTTGCTATCACCTATTTTCATACCCTCGTTTAGACAAAATTGACTCGATTTTTGGGCATTTTACATACACAAACAGTACCTTCAAAATTACCTACAAGGCGCAAAAATGATCTTAGAGTGTTCTTTTTTCTTTTTTTTTTTTTTTTTTTGATTACTCGTTGAAAAGAGTACTTTGCGACGGTGTATGTTAGATTTTGATAAAATAATTACTGTAGTTCATGGATACGTTTAACCAATCAATTTTTATCCTGCAAACAGTAGTCGAAAATTTCGATCCTGTTTTCCGGAAAAACCACTCTATGAAAGTGGCTGAAGTTGGGTGCAGTTGTTCACAGCAACAATACGGAGGGCTGCACAGAGCTGTTTTTCGAAAATCAGTATAGTAAAATAGCTATTTAAATTTATATTTTTAATGCTCGGTCAGTCAAAATCGGGGCTTCGGCATCACCTTAACGTTTTTATAAAAAAAAAAAAGGATCCATCTCCTTCTGCTTCATGTGATATCGACTGACTTCTCGAGACAAGAGACTTGTGTAATTTTGTCCTTATAAATGTCATATTCTTATCTGTTGCTTACAAAAATTTTAGTACCTTTTTTCTAAAACCTTGAAATTTTAAAATGTCTCGTTTGACGGAAAAAGAAAGAATTAGCTTGCTAATGATGAGAGATTGGGGAAACATGAAAAGATCGCTCAATAACGTTACCATTCTTTTGAACGTGCATTTCTGGAACACATTCCAATTAAATGGAAATGTCAATGGACAAAATTGTCGTTATTGGTTGGATACTCACCTTCATTGGATGAGAGTAGGGCGCACACAATATCCACAAAAATTGAATGTGGGCGGGAATCGTAAGTGATCGAATCATAATACCATTCTTCATCGAAGGGAATTTGAATGTTCAGTATTATGAGCAAATGTTGCAAGATGACATCATTCTAGCAATAAAAGCTGTAAAAGGCCAAGATTACAATTTTACCTGTTTCCAACCAAATGGTACCCCGGCTCGTTATGGACGTAATGTGAAGCATTTTTCGATATATGGATAGATAGACGAGGAACAATACAATGGTCCACAAGATCCCAGGACTTAACGCCTCTAGACTTTTTTCGTAGGGTTACTTATACGATCAAGTTTATAAAACGAATCCCAAAAGTCTTAAAAAGTTAAGACGGAGAATCGTTCAACAGGTGGAGGAAATCCCACGAAAAATTATTTTAAATGCTGTACAATCCTTTTACAATAGAATTCGCTACTGCTAAAATGAATGGACAGCATTTCGAACATTTGTTGTGAGTGAGAGGCAAGGGGAACTCACTAAAAAAAAACTCCAAAGTGAGAGCAAGGGGTACTCATTCGAAAAAAAAAACACCCCAAAGGGAAAAGAAACCTTTTACGTCCACGTCGTTGTTCCTGGGTTGCGCTAAAAAAAAGATTGGCGATCGTATTTCAATACATAGTATAAAAAGCTTGTCAGTAGAGTTAAAATCAAGTGATTCTAGTAACAGAATTGAGAAAAAGTGATCAATTAGATAATGCTTGCATATATAAAGAAAGTTAAGATGGTGAGGAATAATTCCACTCGAAAAAATAGTGAAAAAATCTTTTTTTTTTCATGAATTTTGATTTAAAATTGTCGCTTTATTTATATCAAGTCCTGCGTCTAAAAATGCCCTTAAAAAAATATTTCTCCTCCATAATAAATTATTTAGCTTTGAAGAGTACAAAATAACCTTTGATTTTGTTATGCTAAGAAAATTTTATGACCAACAGGTTTGAAGATGTAGCGAAGAAACGTTTCACGAAAAAATCGAGAAAAAAGGAAAAGTTGTTGTTTTTAGTAGTTTTGTTAATTTTAAACATAATAAAATTACTTTAATCCATATTCATAATTGTACAGTTTTCGAATTGCTGAAAATTACCATTAATTTGGTTATTTCAAAATCATTTTAAGTCACATAGAACCAGAGATACATCTATATGAAGTTTCATGAAAAATCCATAAATCAAATTTAGTTCATCAACGGTTCACAGATATAATACTTGAATTTTTCGTGAATCGTCATATAGCTGTATCTCCAGTTCTATATAACTTGAAATGTTTTTAAAGTAACCAAATTAAAGGTGGTTTTCTGCACTTTGAAGCAATACAATTACTATGAATCTGTAATAAAGTGTGTTAAATATGTTTCAAATGAACAAACCTAAAAAAAAACAGCAATATTAAATAACGGCTATAAAGATTTAATGCATTTTAAGCGGACATTTCACTAAAGTAGCAGCTAGGATTTTCGTTCGAACGGTTTCATATTTAGTGGTTTACATACTTTCGAACACTTACTACAGAATTTGGTGGTATTTTTAGCAAACCTATATGCTCTCCAAGCAAACTGTGAGTTATTTTTACGATGCTGAGAAGCTGGAAAAGCACCAAATTACATGTTGTTTCCACATTGATACAGTGCATTTGTAATTAGTGTTTAAAATTGCTAAGTAGTATAACGAAAAAATTAAACTGTAACTCTAATACCACGTACATTTAATGAATAATAATTTGTATTTGATTCCTTTTAAATAAAATATTATTACCTTGATATAACGCATGGACGAACACCTTGAGCTGCCATTTCTACAATCTTCAATCGTATGTGGTTGGGAAGTGGCCGACCATTAATAAAAATACCTCCCAATTGATTGACTCGGCCTTGTCCAGGTATTGAATTCAAATCTAAATTTAAATTAAGATTTTCAAAGTAAATTACAACCAATACAGAATTCTTAAACTTAATTATTTTTCAGTAATTAAGCACATTCATAATATCTAATGATTAAATTACTTTAGTATAATCAAGCATATTAATCCAATAAATAATATAGTAGATAAGAGAACTGACTTAATTTTTTTTACGTTTTCCTGCACTTACTCAATCAAAAATGCATCTTTTCCGCAATTTAATAGCAGAAATTTTTCAAAAAACTTTCCGAATTTTTCCGGAATTTTCGGAATCATCTACCAACCCTTCCAAGAAGTCTTAGAATGTATTTAAAAAAACGTTCAATTTAGGCCTCTTGAATTAAGTGATGGATGGTCCCCAAAATTCTGAAAAAATTCAAGCCGATTTTTTTGTATAATTTTAAAACTTTTTTTAGCGTGTTTTTTCGTTCAAGTGCTTCTATCTCGAAATAAATAATCATAAAGATTTTTCTAAAAAAGGGCCCTAAGGCTCATGGGATCAAACTAACACAGAGACCCCTTTTTGAGGGAAACAGATAAAAAACAAGTGCCCAATAGTAGGTTTGATCTGATCGGCCTTTAAGCGAATTAAAAATATTATTTTTGATTTTATGCATATTATAATAATAATAACATTATAATATTGATTTCTCGCTTACAAATTATTTTTATAAGGGATCACTACCTTTTAAGCAATTGATAACAAATTCACAAGTTTTTACTGTCTAATGCCTTATCAACAATAAAAAACTACATCACAATTCAAAAATCCGCTAATTTACAATAAAAATTCAATCATATAGTTATTTATGTATAATTAATAAGTATAGACAATAGGGTATTATAGGGCTTAATAATGAAAAAATGATCATTTCTCAATACTCGCAATGTTGATTGAAAATGTATGGGTTCAGTTGACTTAATTAATTCTAAGCAAATTTCATGCACCATTTCAAGTGCTTTTAATAATTTCATGAATATATCCTAGACTTGTTTTCAAGACTATTTTGTCTAATGAACCCTTCTTGAACTTATGGTTTTCGAAATTAAAAATGAGTTAAATGTTACATAAACAAATTTCACTGCAAATTAAAATACAATAAATTTTCCTATAATACGAAGAATCTGTGGCTAATACTATATTTTTTGGGATATTTTTTACCTGATTACTAGCCACTTGAAATAGTCACTGTAATAAACAAAAAAAATTAATGTTAAAACAATTTACCTAACTCTGATATGAAAAAAAGAGAGCCCCAGCGCATGTGTTTATTCAGCCTTATGCGTACGCTGAAAATATTATTTTTCATAGCAAACAGCAGTAATTTACTATTATTTTTGATATTTTACCTTACTATATTATTTACGCATATTATCTCTCGAGTGGTATGCTATTGTATACAATCAGGGCCAAAAACAATTCAAATAAGCAGCTTAGGTCGCTATAGTTTAATAATAATCATTTGGCTGTGAGGCTAGCACACTTGCCCAGTATTCTGAAAAACTCGAGTTCAAATCTCAGTACGGCTAAGGGCTTTTTTAAATTTATTTTAAAATTTCTGGCGCTTGCATCGTCGACCTCTGTGGTAACAGAACTAAAAAGTCGGTGGCAATTTAGGATAAAGCTTTGAACTTATATTTGTAAGTATCTACCTTCTTTAATCTAAGTAAATGTGTTTGATGGTGTAGAAGTAAAACATTGAAAATAATATTTTAGTATATAAACATTTAGATTTGAATAAAAAACCAATATTTAAAAAATCATATCATTCGGAATAATTAGGTTTTTGAGTCGTTTTAATTGAATTTTCTGCGTTGCTACGATCCATTATTACATGGAATCATTAAAACTCGAACTACTGATAACCAGATCAATTTATGCATGGAGTTTATAATGTATTATTCAAAAAAGTTCAAGAGCAATGGATTTATATTGGAATATAATATTGGAATATAATATGGAATATAATATTATAATGGAATATAATATTTTCTTTTAGCTATTTATTAAAATATGTATATTTAAAATAATTTATAATTACAAAAATGGATTTTGATGCTCTTGTAAGTTGAACTTGAATTGGTAATGAATTTAATTTCATTCAAAACTCTATCGATTGAGCTACTTTTTTTTGTTGAGCCTTGTAGTGAAAAATACGAAATTAAAAAATAATAAAAAACTAAGTAAAAAAGTACTATTTTTATTAAGATAAAAATGCACGAAGTAAAAGAGTCTTGAAATTTTACAGATAAAATTCTTTCAATTTTTAATAACTTTCGTATTTCAATCTCATCTCAAAAACCCTAGTTTCATTATAAATATGGGATGGATTTCCAGATCTAAAACGAGAAAGATCTGAAGCTCTATAAAAAAAACTGAAAAAAATTAAGGTCTTATTTATGATGCAGATAAAAGAAATAATATTCTGATTTGTTATTATGAGTGAAAAAAAAAGTTCTGCTTTAACAATTCTTCTTTTGGCTTTTACCCGAATAAAATTGAGTTTAGAGAAAAATATTATAGAAAAAAAGTCTTAGAATTGATCAAGAAACATTCTCAAAGTTTTTTCTCAAAAAGTTCTCAACAAATTTTATAGTTTTTTCTTAATAATTTCAACACATTTTTGTTTTTAGAAAATTTTCATGGAATGACAAATGGAAACACATCATTTTGAAAGGTTTTGGCGTGTAATCCTCGATTTTGTTTGAAATTGCATGAATAAAAAGTACCCATTGCAACTTAAGCCAATATGTACAACGATGGATTCAGAAAAATTGCAGATATTGCAAAGTTTCTTGCAGGAAAAAAATCAATTATTTTAAAAATATTTCTCGTTAATTTGTGGCATATAAACAGAAATATTTAATTACACGTTAAAAATGTGATTGATTTTGAGTCCATTTTCTGAAAGGGCTTAAAATTCTACCTCAATATGTGTTTATGAAACTTTGATGAGTTCAATAACATAAAAAAAAGCTTAAAGTCAGCACAAAAATGTGGTCACTGGGTCGTTGATAGCTTAAACTTATTACCGGAAATTATTTGTATCAATTCTTTAAACCCTTTCTAAAAATTTCATACAATATCTGCATTGCTTTTATCACACTTGACCCTTAAAATCTATCAAGTTCTATAGTCATGATAATTGTCACGAATCTTAATATAGTAATAATGCTTATCTAAAGTCAACTTGCCGTAAATGCTAAATAAATGGGTATGAACCGCGAGAGTATAAATTTTAGCGAAAAATGTTTATTGTTCGTGTTTTTTACATATTTTTCGCTAAAAATTATTTATAACCATTTTCAATAAAATTTTTCGGCAATTCGAGCACCAGATCACGACAGATTATTTGATTTCATACGTGATCTGAAGTTAATTTTGATACAATTTTCACTAGTTCACTGCATGGGTGATAAAGTTCCTAAAAACCAGGACAGTTGAAAGTTCAAGGGTTATAGTTTTAACAATAATCACGTAAGTCTACTCAATGACCCTTTCAATATTGAAATGCTACGATTGAATTATTTAATCATTTTGAAATCGATAGTTTTCAGATTGACTGTCCTATTTAAAAATTATCGCTAGATTTCCATATGGAAAACCAGCTGTGGATTTCACTAGAAATATTATTCGATTTTAAAATTAATGTCAGGAAAGATTGAATAATAGTGATCTACATTTTAAAAAATAAATCAGTGCTTTCAGAATTTCATGACAAATAAATATTCTTTATATAAGATGCTTGATTTTCATCGAACTAGATTTCCGAGTCAAGTCAAAATGGAATTTTCACATGAAAATCTAGTGATTTTTTGTACAGGGTAAATTATTTATTGTTAAAAAGCATTTTAGTTTTTAGCAAAGAATCAAATAGATACATATAGTACTCATTATGCACTTTCATTTGTATGAAATAAGGAAAATGTATGTAATAATTGACCGCAAAATGAAAATGTTTTTCATAATTTAAAAATTTAATAATTCTTCATTTTGTGTTCACGTATTTTTCTTGAGAATATAAACAAAAGTGCTCGAATATATAATTTACCTAAACAATAACTTTTTAAATCATTTCTGTTCATTGATTACAATAAAAAAAAATTTGAATCGATGAATTGAATTATAAATCATGAAAATTATGAAAAGTTTATTAAATCCAACAAAAATATTAATTAAAATAATGACATTTAAACATAAGGGTTAGTTTCATGAAAATGAAAAGTAAAATTATAAATTTTTATCCTTGATTTAAGGTAATTTAAAGGGTTTTGGAAAATGCTAAAAGTTTGAAAATTTGAGCAAGTAATGACAAATCTAATAATTTGCGAATTTCAGAACTTTTCGCACATATAGTACATGCCTTGAAGTACTCCAAAAAAATTTTTAATAAATTTTATTTTACAAAATCGTAAAGTTTGGACATCTTAAATATGCAAAGAATTGATTTTTTGAATATCAGTAATCTTTGTCGACTCCAAAAGTAATAAAGTAACAAAAGTCCCTCATGGGAGATCGTTTATTAAAATTATAATGATAATCAGATCAAAAACTGCAACGTCTTTATGTAGAAATATTAGTTTGAAGCTCTTGTAAAATTTATAACTTAATATCCTCAATATTTTCCGAGATTTTTCACTACCGATTTTGAAACATGTTGTTTTAAGATGAACGCGTTAAAGTTTTTTTTAATCAAAATTCGCACAGAAAAACGTAAAAAGCCCTAATAAATAGAGCTTATTATCGAAATTTTTTCCATGTGCTAGAGGGTATTTCTGAAGTAAGTAAATTATATTATACAGTTCAGTAGCATTGTAAAATCATTCAATTGTTGACATAGCAATAAACCTTCAAAAATTCGATTATAGCTTTATTGAATTTTAAAAAATCGAAAGAAATCAATTGTTTAATCCACGAGAAAGCTCTGTAATGGGCTCAAAAATGAATTTTTAAAGCAGGTCTCGTAGATAAACATGGTTTAAATGTTTGTAAACAAGATTAAATTATCAATAAATATCTAGATTTGCGTGTGAAAATGTGTGTCCTCTCTTAGTTTGTCGGACTTTCAGCTAAAAACGAAGTGCAGCTGACCGCGAGCTCCTTTACGCCACCCAAGTAACTTGGGTTGATGTTGTTTGTGGAATATATTTTTTTCCGAACACAGAAAAGTGAATTTTCATTGAATTTTTTTATAAAAATAATAGAAATAATCATTTGGAAGAAGGATATTTGAACATAACTTCACCTTCAAAAGTTCAAAGAGCAATCTTAAAGGATATCAAATAATAATGTCAATAAATGTTTTTCAATTAATGATTATTACACGATGAAGGATTACAAGGATTAAAAAAAGTCTAATAGAAGTCTACATATTTATGAATATAAAATGAAACATTCAAAAGGAGTCAAAAATCAAGAAAAGAAATATGTTATAAGAGAATAACGAGATCCATAAATATATTTATAAATATGTATCTTATAATATTGGTCCTTTTCATAGTGCTTTTAAAACCGATATTCCTTTTTAATCTACTTTTGCAAAAACTTTCCATAAAATCTAAACCGTTTTTTTCTCTGACATCCGTATTATTGTACAATATTAAAAGTATTGCGCTTGGTCATAGAGTCTTGTAAACCTAGGCCCAAAATAAAAGCTACTCCATTCTACTGTTTTATCTCCGCTTGAAATGTTTTTTATTATATATATTTAAAATTTATCTAAAAAAGGTTCAGTTATCTAAAACTTTTTTCAATTTTTTTGATTTTTTGTGAAGTATAAAAATGTAAAAAATTGTATAAAATTGAAGAGATATTTCTTGTATTGATATATATTGCTTGAATGCAAAATTTTTCATTCCTTTAAAATACTTCGATTTTAATTTTATTTCAATAATGTATTTATTAAATATAGAATATGAAGTGACAAATAATATTCATCTAAATTCAGAATTATCCATGAACATAATCTCAACATTCAAACAGGTCACTATTCATTTTCAAGGAATCAATTGTATTAGATACGTAATCCACATTAAGTGTAGTTATCAAACTTTTATCAGTAAAACAAAGATATCTTCAATGCACGCGTACATATAGAAATTAAGCGTTTTTAATATGAAATAACCATTTATAAGATACAGTTCTTAAAAATGTAAAAATTAGTCGTAAAATCCTGTTGATGATATTCATTAGATCTATAATTATTGTTACATTTTTCCTTGTTGTGATCATGAAAAGAAGCATTATTTTTCATTTACACACATTTACAAAAATTTACGTAAATTTACACAATTTAAGAAACTTCGGTTAAAAAAACCATTTAAATCTGATTTTCATCACATATCATCTTAATTAATAAGAGAGATCCTCGTAAAATTTTGTCGAATTAAAATGGTAACACAAAAATGTAAACGTTACATATATTTTTTATCTAAAATTATGACTTGTTATTATAGAAATGAGTATGAAAAATTATTACCTTGGAGAGTGTAAGTAGATATGCAAGAACGCATCATTGAAAAATCTGAAGTAATTGTCATAGCCAAGTATATACAGTTGAGATAATTTGAATATTTTCATCACCACTTAGTATAAATATTCATTAGTAGAGTGAACATTTTTTTCAAACGAAGTCATAATTTGCGTTTTTTAATAATAAATAAACTAGTTCTTCATCGATATCACTCACTGAAATTATCAAGGTTTCGTTGAGTTTAAAACTTTATCATTTGTGACTTAGTTTGTCCTTCGAATTTGACACGCTTTTTTACTCCCCCGGCACTGACTTCCTGATCTTTACTGAACGAAAAGTCTTTCCACGCTTAACTTTTAGACAGTTCAAAAATTTGACCGCGCCTACTTGTATACCTCAAAAAGAGCCGCTGATAGTTCTTCTAGCACTCTATGAGCTAATGTGAAGATGAGAGACCAAAATTCACTATTTACCTGCCAGTTAAAGAAAAAGAGATGAATGTACCTAAAAGCGTCTTGAGAAAAATAGGGAAAAAAGAATTAGTTCTGAAAAGAATAGATGTATCCCTACTTTTTACTTTATGTAGCCTGGTAGCAAGGCTATTATGAGTAGCAGTTCATGAGGGCTGAACGAAGGCAATTGTCATCCCCACTTTTCATGCCCTTTGGAAATCGTGCGTCTCAAACTGGCGGTACTTTTGATCCTCGTGGCGGTCTCAGGTACGAGACCCGTCAAAGAATATAACATTTAACCAATAGGGGCCTAATAGCAACAAGCTCCACGCTGGTGGTATGGGCACGCCTACAAATCTCGCTTTTTCATTCCCCTACCCATTGCTTCATGATGTTGCTCCCATATCGGTCGTTTTGTCTCCATCTCTTTCTTTCTTAGTTACTCTTTTAACACATCAACATGCTAATGTACTAAATTTTAAATTTTCTTAAATTACTTTCAATACGAATTCTAAGTTAAAATGAATTTAAAATATTATACAACTTTAGTTTTCAATAGATTAAAAATATATATTTTTATTGAATTTTCATTACCACATAGATAGATTTATTTTTAAACCACTCATAATCTTCTGTAATCATTAGTATTAATAAAAGATGTACAATGTTCATTTAAAAAATAATAATATGCCATCAAAGCAAAATTTTTCATATTTTCATTCAAATCTTTTTTGCAATCTAGATAGATTTAAAAATTAGAAAAAACTTTACTAATCCTTGACGCAAATGATAAAGAATAAGTGAAAACACGTAAAAATTTTAACATTTAGTTCCGTAAAATTATGAATTATTTTGACAAAAAAGTTACAACTAAATGTATAATCAAATTGAAGTACATTTTTTATGGTAATGGTTAAATTTGTGTAAAACCAATTTTATTGAATATTTTATAACTGTTTGAATAAGTAACGATTTATAGTATTCAAATCCTCGCACATGCATTAATCATACTGGTAACTTTGATTTTCGAATAATATATACCGAACAATGAAGAAAGAAGACTCTAAAGTAAATGGATTTCAAATGCATCCACGTAGTGTTCTCTATTTATTTTAAAAACTAATTATTTTATATCGATTGTATGTTAAATACAAATAGGATAGATACATAAAGATTATGTTCATGTAAAAAATTCAATGATTAAATTTGAATGAAAGATTTTGTTTTTCTATACATAGAGCTTTTTGAAGGCTGCAGTCATATTTTGATTTAAAAATCATCATGTATTGATAATTTAGTGGCTACATAATAATGCCCCAATTTTTTTATGTGTTGTTGCTTTTTATCAGGTCAGGAGCTAGTGAATGACAGTGAATGCCTCGAAAAATGATTTATTTAATTTAAAATACAACGTACATTGGTCCAATCTAATCGATTTTAAATTATAAATTATATTTACTTTCGTTTGATCGATACTCATTCTTTTAACAATATAAGAGTGTAAAAATATTCAATTACAAAATTACTTAAGTGAAAATTTGAGTCTCTTCATAAACTTACACTGAAGAAATAATTGTTGAATTATTTGATTTGTTTTGCAAAATTCAAGCCTGTTATCTGAATCAAAACTCACGAGCAGTGATTTTTCGGTAGGATTTAGTATATCAAATTTGGTATAGAAAGAATTTGAAGTATATTTTAGTAACCTTTTCTTACGATATTTACGTTTATGTTATTTAAATCTCAAAATACTCTTTCAATATTTATAATATCGTTATTAATGAACAGATGTATAAAACTATTGAATTGCACAAATAAAAATATGTTCATTTTGAAAACGAAGTCTGTAAGATCCATATCACTGACTTATTTAATAATAATAATGATAACAATAATGTATATATTCATTAATAAATCTTTTTCCCAATAATAAAGAATATGAATTATAAAACATACAATTTTATTTGAAAAACCAGTTAAAACCCCTCATAGACATTCATTCATTTAACTCGATACTATATACTTTGATATTATGAGAAATTCAAAAATTTATGAAAATTTACCAAGAACTTAAAAAACCTTATTAAAAAAACTAATTTATCAAGCATTTTCATCGATTGAATATCACTGAAAAGTATAATTTCGGTTAAATTTGGATTATACAATAATGATAAAGACAGCTGCATCATAGATAGTAAATTCGAGAAGCGTATATTGTCGATCATATTACACTGCCCTAAAATCACTTTTGCCATACCTAAGTAAAAAGTGAGTTAACTTCAAAGTGTCATATCTCAGTCATTAAAGATCAGATCAGGATTTTAAAAATACCATTCGGAAGGTCTTTACAAGCTATTCACAACTATATGAAGTATGATAAGGTTCAATTATCTATTCACCAATTGTTTTCAACAAATAAAGAATCGAAAAAATCAGTTTTTCTCGTCATTGCTATTTCACTCGCAATATGAGTAGAAAATCTTGTAGAAACATTCGAAGCCCATCAATTTGTAGGTTTTGATAAGTCCTTCAAATCTGTTTAACTTAAATTGTCCTACGTGCATTTTTCACGAAAATACGGGCGTTTACTGGACCCTGATATTTTTTGAAATTCTAAGATTTTGATGAGTCAAAACCATGATTATTCTAAAAATCGAATCCATAAATATTACTTCATATTCTATGTACAAAAACAAACATTTTTTGCACATAAGATTTTTTCCCATCTTATTTACAAAGCCGTGCTCGTATGAATGAAAAAAAAATTGAAAAATGATATGAATTATTTCTCTACAGTTAAACCACCGTATTTTTGTGAAAAATGCACGTAGGACAATTTAAATTAAACAAATTTGAAGGTCTTATCAAAACCTCCGAATTGATGGGCTTCGAATGTTTATACAAGACCTTCTACTCAAATTGCGAGTGAAATAGCAACGACGAGAAAAACTGATTTTTTAGATTCTTTGTTTGTTGAAAACAATTTGTAAATAAATAATTGAATCTTATCATACTTTATGTAGTTATGAAGTGCTTGTAAAGACCTTCCGAATGGTATTTTTAAAATCCTGATCCGACATTCATTGATTGAGATATGACACTTTGAAGTTTACTCACTTTTTATTTAGGCATGGATTGTAGGGCAGTGTATATACGAATGAGAATAAAGCGTAAATTAAGAGAAACTCGTAACTGTTTGCTACAGTTATCTACACGTGAGATTTGAGAATTCTTTATAAAAAGTATTACAATAAATGAATGAGCTTGAGGCTAGTTTTATCTTTACGCTAGAGTAACAATTTTCATTACGCGATGATTACAACATTAATATGTATCGATAATATATTTGTACAAGAATAAGAAAAAATATTGTGTGTATTGAAAGCTAAAAAATTTACAAAAATGTAGTAGAGTTTGAAAAATTTACTAAAGTTTAATAAACTTTTCCAATTTTTATTCAATTTTGATCAGTAACGTATAATTCTTTTAAGAAGCTAATGGTTCACTATCGTTATTTTCAATAATTGTAAAATATTTAATACTTATTATGAAAAACCATAACTTTTCTTAATCAATCAATAAAGTGAAATGATAAGGCCACAAAAATCTGAGTTGTTTTATACTTCAGTACAAACAAATACAACGAAAAGCTTCTTTCATTGCATCGGAAAAATAATAAAAGAATCTTTTAATTGAACTAACAGCAAAAAAAATTGGACAAAAATATATAAGTAAGTATATCCTAAAAATATGTATCTCACATTAGGTAGAAAAATTAGGTAGTTATTTCTCATGTAATTTTGCTCTTAATTTTTATTGGAAACTTTTAAGGATTCAAACGAGACCTGGAATCGAAAAAAATTTTATTTTATCTTTTAGTAAGTTACTTTCTCGCCTTTCTACAGCATTGCTTGAAACTTTCTAATGTTTAATTTTTACTGGGATACAACTATTTCTGTGAGCCTTTTTCAAATACTTTGCGTTTTAAATTTTTTCTTCCATTCCTTTTTTTGGCGTTTTACGTATTTCCGAAAATGCACTTTAGTTCTCGTAACTTTCAGAGCCAAGCGTTTAAATTACAGCTCGAGGGTTTCATACGCTTCTTCAGAACATGAATATTTATGGGCAAGACCTCAGGCGAGTTGATCGGACCCGTAGTTTACACTGCACAAACACTTAAGCAAATTGTTTTTAATTTTATATTTTTCACGTTATCTCCATCATAAATCTACTGATTAAGAATAACCTATAGGTTCAATCACCTCGCCTGAGGTCTTGTCCATAATCCCATTCATGTTCTGAAGAAGTGTACGTGACCCTGGTGCTGTAGCTTTAACAATTCGCTCTGAAAGTTACGAGAAGCGAGGTGCATTTTTAAAAACGAAAAAGAAGAAAAAATTTAACATACAAAGTATGCATAAAATCTCACAGAAATGTCTGCATCTCAATAAAAAATAAATGTTTTCTAATTTAAAAAAATTCTACTGAAAGAAAGAAAAATCCTTTCCAAAAATTGAATTAAATTTTTCTTCTTATTTTAAACCCCCTTTAAGACCTCAAGTCTCCTTATCACTAGGACCTGAAATTGGCGTTTTTCCTAATTTATACCTTTTTTTAATGTTAGAAAAAATTGTATCTCCCCCCCCTGAGTGAATTTAAAAAAACTTGTTAATACATTGATTTCATTACAGAAATTGTCTAAAATGTCTGGAAAGAAACTGCCAAAGGGTTGGAACACATTGAGAATTAACTATTATAGAGATGAACATAAGATTCAAAGTTTAATAAATTTCGATTCAGACTTCTGTCATAAAATATTCCTGGCAAGTATCCTTCTTTGTCATCTAATACTTTCTAAATTATTTTTATAATAAGATACCGAATCTATACTAAGAGATACAAAAATTCCTTGAGTAACGAAAAAGATACATGAAACCGTTAAAAGAAATCGCTGAAAATAATAAAACATCAATGTTTCTCATGGTTTTTTTTTTACTAATTATTGGACATTTGAATGAACAGAGAATTATTTCTAAATAACAGATGTTTTTATTAATATAATCTTATGCGTAGATTTGATTTTTAAAATTCCTAATTTTATTTTTACTTTTTAAATGAATCTATTTTCCATAATTGAATTTTTCAATTACTTTAATTAATTTTTTCACAAATCTCTTTATAGATTACAAATAACTATCATGTATATAAACAAAAAGTTACATTATTTACCTCTTTTAAATAAATATTTAAAAGTATATATATCTTGCATACTTTAATTCGCTATTTATAACGATTATGCAATTGAAAAAAGCAAAGCTTTCATGTATATGTTTTATGACAATTGACCAAGAGTTCATAGAACATACTTAAAATTCGAATCTAAATAATCTTAGTCGACTCTAAATTAAAATAGCATAGGCAAGTTATACAAGCCTTAGTGAAAACTACTCGAGTTTCAAGAAATCATTTCACGTTGACTAACAAAAGTAAGTTTTTCAATTAGTTATTATATTCGTATTAGTATAAGTGTAATGAGATAAATGAACATGAAAAAGAAACACATACACATTTTTCATTAAGCCATCATCGTTACTCCGAAACAGTATATAGCACAGCTCAACTAATAGGGAGCTGGACTTGTAATCGTCTGATCACCGGTTCAAGTCCAGGTCTCAGGATAAATATTTCAACTTTTTCACCTACCTTTATTTTTGTTTTTGAAAGTATTTTTAATTATTAAGATATTAATAAATCAAACATTCATTCCACTTAAAATTGTTTTTTTTTCATTATTTGTCTTTTGGAATGATTGACATTATTTTTCGTAAAAACTACTTTTTTTTTATTATTGCATGCCAAAAAAATATATGATCTTATTCGAGATAAAAATGTCAGATATTGATTTCACGAAATTTCCAATAAACTTTCCAAAATATCATTATCGTTGAAAATGATGTAATTGTTTGTTTCAATTTTAGATACAATCAAAAACGTCTTTATTTTCAACAAGGGTAATTTGAAATATTCTGAAATAGTCTATTTTGCACGCCTAGGGGGTGAAAAACTAGAAAGTCTCAGAGCACGTGTAATTTATCATCCAAGGCGAAACCGAGACTGATAATCACGTGTTCTGAGACTTTTTTTTCGCTACATAGATGCAAATACAATTTTTTGTGAATCCCCCGGCTTAAATTAACATTTTTATTTCGCTCAGCGGGAGTAAAATATTGCTTTAGGTTGGGGTGGCACAATAAATAATTAATATTGTGTACATAAGAAAAGTTTTTACAAAACCAACTCTCGTTTATTTTACAAGCGTTTACAGACTGTTTTTTTTTTCGTTCACTAGTTCTTGAGAAGCTTTAAGACTTCTATTTTGTTGAAGTTAATAAGTTGCTATAATATAGTAGCTTCAATAACATTTTTTTGTTGTATAGTTTTTTCCGGATATTCTTACTGAAATTTTATGAAAACTTTTCAGTTTATTTCGGAAAAATCATTGTTCCAAACATAATTACTAAATAATCGATTTATTTTTACGGTAGAATAAAAAATTTTATTTGCTTTCAGTTTTTTTCTAGTAAGAAGTCTGGGTTATAGTAACTAATATTCTCATTACTGTTTAGTCAATAAAAAAACCAAACTGATGAATTAATTATAAGTTATATTGAATTTTACATACTTATTCATTCGTTAAAATTGAAAGTTTTTACAATCGAATAAAAAAGTACTATAAACTTAATGCGGGTTAGAATCGTGCATTATATGTCTTCCATTTAGTATCAGATCATCAATAATTGGAATGGTTTAATCAACTACTTTTTTTCAGCAAAATAATATAACCTAAGAAATGGAACATAAAATAAAGAGATATCATGAATATTATATCTTGAGTAAAATTATCCTCTTGGAAATCGAAATATTGCAAAACTTGATTTCCGTCTTCGATACAAGGTAAATCTTCGTCGTTGGGATAACAAGCTGCAAAAAAAAATATTTTATAATGTATTAGAGATCAATTTTTGAAAATACAAAAACATTAATTGTATATAGAATAGATGAGTACCATAAAATAAATATGTATTATTAATAATATAGTTCTAACCGAAAATCAAATTTCATTATTTAAGTTCTCTTGACTTTTCTTTCGTGAAATTAATTTATATTTTAACCTATAAATATTATTTCATTAAGTGTTTTCACTGCATGATTCAATGTTATAATATAAGATAATATAAGAAATCATCTGAAGCTGATGATCATCTTAGTTTCGCTGAACATAGTGAAGTTATTCCCATACTTGATGGCTAAAGGCGAGAGATCTCGTTTTGAGTCCTCACGGGTTGAAGCAAATTTTTTTCTATGTACATTTGCTCTTAAAAAACATAAAGCCCTTAAGTGATCTCTTAAGGGCTCAAAGGGGGCTTAAAATCGGAAAAATTTTATTTTCCAGTGGGATTTTTATCTCCTTTCCAATGCATTTTTCAAAACACCAAGATTTTAATCATTTATTGAGATATAGCCATTTCTGTGAATTTTTTGTATACTTTGCGTGTTAAGTTTTTTCTCCTTTTTCGTTTTCTGGCATTTGAAAAGTGCACCGCATTGTCGTAACATTCAGAGCGAACCGTTGAATTTATAGTACCAGGGTCGCAAACACTTCTGTAGAACATCAATGATCACAAACACAACCCCGAGCGAGGTGATCGAACTCATAGGTCACTTTCAATCAGTAGATTCATACAAAAAGAGAAAAAAAGTAAGTAAGAAAAAAAAGAAGTAGTAAAATGAAAAAACCTCGCCAGGGGTTTTGTTTGGGACCATTGATGTTCTAAAGAAATGTACGCGGCAAAAAAAGCTCACGGAAAAGCTGTATCTCAGTGATTTATCAAAATTTTGAAGATTCGAAATATGCATTGGAAAGGGGTCAAAAAGTCCTACTTGAAAATAAAAAAAATTTCAATTTTAAGCCCTATTTGAGATTTTTTGTAAAGATTTGGGATATCTGTTTTGGCGTTTGTGATATGATAAACGAGAAAAGATGTTTTTTCACTGATGGCTCTCAAAATTCCGAATCAAATAAAATCTATAAACCGATCAATTTTAAATGAAACTTTTTGTGGTAACGATATATATAAAATAAACAGCTTAGATGAATCGAATAAAATATAGGTGGAGTTTTAATGTGAAATTTTATACATTCATATAAAAAACTGATTTAAACATAATTAACTTAGTCACCAGTCACCACAAGAAACCAAGACTAGTGTGTACTAACATTTAAGTGAAACTTAAAAAATGTTATGATGAACTTGGCGTATTTGACTATGTGTGGCTGTCTAAAATAAATAAAAATTGTCCTCATGGGTCTGATATGTTAAAATAGTTATTAATGTAACAAGTGCCCAAAAAGCTGGGCACGTGTTGCATACAAAATTTTATGCAATAGTAAGCGAAAAATACTTTCATTTAAATGAGTCATTTTACCGCACAGCCGTGTCCAAAATGAGGCATTTTACCACACACCAGGGTCGAAATGAGGCATTTTACCGCATACAAGTGTCCAAAAATACTTTTTGCGCACTAAAAAATGTGCGAAATAGTTATTTATGTAATAAGTGCCCAAAAGGCGTTTTTGGGCACGAGTGTGCGGAAAAGGCACGAGTGCCGGCTATGCCGGCACGAGTGGGTGTTTTTTCCGCACACTGTGCGCAAAAAGTTGGGCACGTGTTGCATACAAAATTTTATGCAATAGTATGACGAAAAATGTTTTTTTTCGCACATTTTTTTGTGCGAAAAAAGCGTTTTTGGACACTTGTGTGCGGTAAAATGCCTCATTTTGGACACGAGTGTGCGGTAAAACGCCTCATTTAAATGAACGTATTTTTCGCCTACTATTGCATAAAATTTTGTATGCAACACGTGCCCAGCTTTTTGCGCACAGTGTGCGGAAAAAACACACACTAGTGCCGGCACAGCCGGCACTCATGTCTTTTTCCGGCACTCGCGTCTTTTTCCACAGCCACTCGTGCCCAAAAACGCCTTTTGGGCACTTGTTACATAAATAACTATTATGCAATAGTAGGCGAAAAATACGTTCACTTAAATGAGGCGTTTTACCGCACACCCGTGTCCAAAATGGGGCATTTTACCGCACACAAGTGTCCAAAAACGCTTTTTGCGCACTAAAAAATGTGCAAAAAAAGACATTTTTCGTCATACTATTGCATAAATGTATATTTTATTGCTGTTTTTCCATTGCTCAAAAAGTTTTAAACGGCCTCACTGATTTAAGACTAATTTTATTACATATATTGGAGTATTTTTGTATTTTTCAACACTTGGGCAGTTAAGTTACATCTTAAAATTGCTCTGTATCAACATTCCATGTGAACCTTTTGAGTAAATGGGCTGTAATTTTCAGGAAGTGTTCTACATGAGAATGACTACAAACGCAAGGCACTTTCAAAGTTATTAGGACAAATGAGCACTTTTTTGAGGCTGTATTATAGCAGTATCTTCATTATATCATGTTTTCTATTAATGAATAAATGTACATATATGACTGTCAAATTGTTTATGATTAATGAAGACGTTTGAAACCACACATCTAATGAACAAAATCACCCCTATGGTCATGATTGAACCATCTGTTCTAACTGGGTTCTACGACTCAGGGTGTACCTGTCAGGACTATGGGCTTGCTTCTTCAAGGAGGGTTCTATGGTGACAGGTGACCTCAATTCACATATTCCAGAGTGAAAAACAAAAATTTTTTCTTAATTTTTAATCAATTTTTTTTAAATCCAGGTTTAAGGTACCTTTCCCCCCTTAAGTCTCTTTCATAAAAAAAATTGAATCTAAGTTTTTTTCAGGACTCAAAATCATAAGTGCGACTCATGACTCGGAAAAGGGGGCGTAAATGTGAACTTAGCACAGTGCTAGAAAATAATGTACGATAGGATCTTTTTAAGAACTTGTATAATTGTTTGTCTAATTTTTTAAATTTGGAAATTATATTGAAAAATATTATTCGTTCGTGAAGAACTCAATTGGACTCTAGACCTCTTCAGCATCCGGAGTACATCATGAAATCAATTACAAACATTTAAAACAGATTTACGGAGTTTCAGTAATAAAAATGTCAACACACTTTTGAAAAATCTAGCAAACAATCTGATAAATTCACACAACTTTTTTTACTTATTCTAAAAGATTTTTATTCTTTCCTTTCCTTTAAGATAATCCCTTTTAAGGGGGGAAAGGTACCTTAAACCTACATTTGTAAAAAATTTATTAAAAATGAAGAAAAAAATTTTTTTGGAATAAACAGAGAAAACTCTGTTTTTTTCACTCTTTTTCAAAAGTTTTTTACTCTGGTAAATGTAAATTGAAATCCCAGTCACCATAGAACCCTCCTCGATGAAGCAAGCCCACAGTCCTGCCAGGTACCCCTGTGCCGTAGGTTCCAGCTAGAACCGATGGTTCAATAATGGTCATTGGGGTCTCATTTTGATCATTAGATGTGTGGTTACAAACGCAAGCACTTTCAGATTTTTTAATTAGTTATACACAATTTGCCAGCCACATATACATATTTATTCATTAATATATATGATAAAATGACAGATTATGCTACCATATAGCCTGAAAAAAGTGCTCATTTGTCCCAATACCTTTGAAAGTGCTTGCGTTTGTAGCCATTCTCGTGTATAACAATCCCTGAAAATTTCAGCTCATTTGCTCAAACGGTTCACATGGAAAGTTACGGCAACAAAGCAATGTTAGTATACGCTAATATGGGTTTTATGGGGAAACTGGTAACTCAGTCGATTATGTCCAAATCAACTTTTCACACAAATATACACAATCTCACATTAGAACTTGAACTCAGTCCTCTACCTACTCACTCACATTCATAAAACATTGGATCTATAGTTGGAAAAAAAATCACTCAAAATTGATCAATTATCACTAATCTTGTTTATCACATGTAACAATATACATGAATAATATGCATGATACAGTCATGTACACATATATAAAGTATAGTGACATACATATACACTGATGTATTGCGACCACACAAACGATTTTCGTTCGCAAGATTAGTCCGTGGACGCAGCGAGCGAGAAAGAGACACAGAGGAGAGAAAGCCGCGCAATAGTATGAGCTCTCGATGTCACCACTCTCGCGACGTAGCTCACGTGACCAAGCAGTCACAACTCTCACTCATCACTCCCTAAGGAGAAGAAAGGGAAAAGGAGAGCGCCCCACTCACATGGGCTGACGCTTAAGGTAGAAATGTGAGTTCGAAGCCCAGCACGTTTAGTTTATTGTAACTTTTCAATTACGAATAGTCAAATTCGCATTAGCAATTTTTAGTTGTTGTTATCTCAACTTAGATTGTTCATTCTATTTTACTTACTTATCGATTCACGTGAACCAATCTCTCGCGACGCGTGAATTGCCATAGAATCGAGATCGGGATCAAGTACGCGGCACGAGAGTTTCCGTTTCGTGTATGAGATCGCGCGGCCAATCGTGAAATTGTGTCTGCAAAACAATCGTGAGTGCATATCGCAGCGCGAGTGAAAGAGCAGAACGTAAGCATTTTTCGTGAATTCGTGTGACCAGATTCAAAGTACCGCGAATCCGAAGCCAATGTGAGTAGCGACGCCACTACCCCCTGCCTAGCTTGGAGCCCGTTTCCACTAGACTACACCTCATCAATCGCAAGAGCTTCCTTATCAGGTCTTAGAAATTATTTAAGCGCCGTTAGAAGCTCTCGCCCATTCACTCTGTCTCAAACTATGTTTGACTTCATCCTTGCTCAATGCAAGGGAGAGTCAAAGAGAACGCACATCATTCATTTTCGGATAACCCATACTCGCGAGTTCTCTATCAAAATTCCTGTGCAGGGACCAAAAACCAAGCGCAAGCGGGGCCCCAGGAGCAGCTGTAAATCAGTCGACCCCGACTCTGAAGGTAAAGTCCTGTTAGTTGTAGAAAAGCAAGGCTGACCAAGCTTCGTAATCCGAAGTAGTCAGTGAGCTAGCTACACATATTTCAAGATATATCTATGCGTAAGGCTCAGAATTTTTTAAATAAACCTGCGCTCGTATGTCACCGATCTTGACGCGCTTTTGGCATGCTATAGTACATGGTAAAAAGGTCTCAAAACCAAAATTTTAGACCCCCTCCCCCCCTCCTACCCCCCTCCACCCCTATAAACGTCCATTTTCTATCTATATTTTTTCTGAAGGCCTGAAGCAATTAAAAATCTGAAAAAATTCACAAAAATACTTTTAATAAACTGAACAACCTCGAATTTTTTCAGATTTTTTAAGTGCTTCAGGCCTTCAGAAAAAATCATTGAACATTTTGAAAATTCATGTACGGCGCTACGATGCAATACAAAGCCCGATTTTTTTTTCACTCATATTTGGCATCAAAATACATAACCACAAATTTTTTCAGATTTATTCAGAGAGAACGCTGACGTCTAGAGCCGAAAAACCCCATTTTTTAACGAAAATAATTTTTTTAGGACGATACGAAGCCTTGAAAAATCTGGAAAAAATTTTTTCTCGTTTTCTTCATTGAAATACATTACCTTGAATCTTTTCAAATTTTTTAATTGAAGGCGATAGCATCTATGGCTGAAAAACGCTTTTTTTATAAAAAACGGTTCCTGGAACCCACAGGTTCCGGTAAAAAAAATTTGAAAAAATTTTTTTCGAATTTCTTGTCAAATTTTAATAAACTTTGACCGTTGCAAAATTTCGATTGGAGCTTCCTAGCTCATTATAGAGCATAACAAAGATTCGAGCGAAATTCTGAAGAAATTTGAAAAATAATGTAACTGTGATGAATGTCTTCAGAATTTCGCTCGAATCTTTGTTATGCTCTATAATGAGCTAGGAAACTCCAATCGAAATTTTGCGACGGTCAAAGTTTTTCAAAATTCGACAAGGAATTCGAAAAAAATTTTTTCAAATTTTTTTACCGGAACCTTTGGGTTCCAGGAACCGTTTTTCATAAAAAAAGCGTTTTTCAGCCATAGATGCTATCGCCTTCAATTAAAAAATTTGAAAAAATTCAAGGTAATGTATTTCAATGAAGAAAACGAGAAAAAATTTTTTCCAGATTTTTCAAGGCTTCGTATCGTCCCTAAAAATTATTTTCGTTAAAAAATAGGGTTTTTCGGCTCTAGACGTCAGCGTTCTCTCTGAAAAAATCTGAAAAAATTTGAGGTTATGTATTTTGATGTCAAAAATGAGTGAAAAAAAGATCAGGCTTTGTATTGCATCGTAGCGCCGTACATGAATTTTCAAAATGTTCAATGATTTTTTCTGAAGGCCTGAAGCACTCAAAAAATCTGAAAAAATTCGAGGTTGTTCAGTTTATTAAAAGTATTTTTGTGAATTTTTCAGATTTTTTAATTGCTTCAGGCCTTCAGAAAAAATATAGATAGAAAATGGACGTTTATAGGGATGGAGGGGGGTAGGAGGGGGGAGGGGGTCTAAAATTTTGGTTTTGGGACCTTTTTACCATGTAATATAACATACCATAAGCGCGTCAAGATCGGTGACATACGAGCGCAGGTTTATTTAAAAAATTCTGAGCCTTACCCATCTATAAAGTCATGATCTATTAAATGAGTAATGTTTATCACATTTAAATCTGTTCAGTCAATAGATGATGCCATAAATCGTTATTTGATTCTTAAACTTACACTGATATTTACTGTTAATTCGCATGCAATCACCTACCCCGTGACGAATTCATTATACTAAAAATCATCCTCACTTTGGTATTAATTTATTGGGTCGGAGTAAAAGGAGACGCGAAAACATTAATTTATTCGCGTCAACACTTTGATACGCGTATGCTCACGCACGCTTAGAAAGCTCGCGACGCGATAAAAGTGCATCCCAGTATATATGTCAATTTACATATGTACTGCTGTATTTCTTGAATTTGATCTGCTAAATATGTCACATTTTCATAAAAAGCTATTGAAACATCTTCATAGATTTATTATGAAACACTATGTCAATTGCAAAGATACAACTTCACTGTACATGTACTTTTTTCACTTTCAAAAGAATGTAATTTTTAGCCATTGGAAAATCAAGATGCAGTCAGCAGACTGTTATTGACATTTGATCCAGGCTCGCGCACGAAACAGAGAGAGACAGCAGATATGTCGAAACCCACGAGCTGCGAGTGGTGGCTTTACTGTACACCTATAGCCATGTAAACAAAGAAATTTCTGCTAGATGTACTCTAACCAAAGAATAAAACGAGTATCAATAGATGGCGCTAGCGACTTATGAAAGTCTCGAGATTCATGAGAGAATGGCAACGATATACCTTTGAGTTGTTTCATTCATTTTTTCTAAATAATAATCGTGAAAGTAACGGTAGTTAATAGGCTGTACATCACGATACAGTTAAAATTTTAAAATTCCGATCATGTCACTGGGAAGCTGAGGAAAAATGTTATCAAAAAAGTCAATAAAAAAAAAATTTTTTTTTGAGATTTTTGGTACCTTTCCCCCCTTAAGATGACACGTACGTCATTAAAATAAAGTAAATACTCTCTAGTTCTATCTCTCCTTTTATAATTAGAACACTCACATTGTAGAGAGTAAAAAATTCACCAGATAGTCATTTGTCTGTGAATGAATTATTTATTTTATTTATTCAAAAATAGTGACGTGAGATACTATTTTCATTTATATAAGGCACTTTTTACTATTATTCGCCCTATTTCTTTATATAAACTCAATTATTGTTTACTATCATTTGCAATTTTTTATATATCATAGCCCACTTGAGACACTATTGATTGGAACCTTGTAATATAAAAACTGTCAATGTAACAAATCTCAATTTACTTACAAATATTATTGATATCTTTCCAATGTATTATTGAGATTGTTTCTGTAGAGTATAGGAGCCATGAAAAATACTTCACCCATTGAATATATAAAGGCAAGGAACTGTAAAAAATTAATAAAGAGTCTGCTTAGTAACAAAACAATCCCAATGTATAAATAACATAAAAAATTATTGAGCTATTTCTATAAATTCTTAAACTATGTTCATGCTTACTGAAAATGTACCAATCTTTGACTAGTGGGGTACTGTTGGTTTTTTGTGTAAAATGTGATAAGAAATTCAAATTTGAATTGGAAAACTCCATTTGTATGCTCCGAACCTTCTACAAATGGAAAAAATGACTTCAAGTCCGAAAATAAACATTTTCGTTCATCTTCAGTACTGAAAAATGTTCTTTTTTTACCAAAAAAAAGTTCTCATAGAAATTTTATAATCGTGTTTCTAAAACAAACGCAGATACCTTGTTCAAGAAATTTATGATCATGTATGGTCGCCGGGGTTGCCCACATGCATGCTCGCGTGTTGTATTTAGTTCGGCAGTTATTATGGAGCTAGATATATGAGTCAAGAAACATTGTTTTTCTATAATTTTCCTTAATAAATAATGAAGTCTGTTAGTCTGCTGATGAACAAAATTTATAGAAAGTGAGCTATAGATCAGTCGATTAACATATTACAAAATTGGCCTAATCGAAGAAGATGAACATATTTATTTTTGGACATTAATGCTATTTTCAGTTATTTTGTAAATATGAATTTTAAGTACAAATTAGTAATCTACATCAAATTTTACATAAAAAACCACGATTTTTTCATATTAACCCCAGAAAATCAGTATTCCAAGCAAAACAACATCAGAAAAAGAAAATTCAACTTTAAGGCCCTACATAGATCCAAGAGGTTTGGACCTAGAGGAATATAGATATAGCATATAGTGCGACGAGAGTCTGGACAAGACCTTGTCTCTGTCTCTCATAAAGCCAATACAACGATAATTTGTACTTATTATGAGATCTGTTACAGGTTCAGCGGCGTGACCACGAGCTGATCGCAACAAAGAGAGAGAGAGAGACATAAAATCACGTGGGTGGCATAGTCCAGTCAAATTAGTTTTAAAAGTGAAAAAATTCGCAACTACAAATTCACACCGGGAAAAGTTAGTGTTAGATGTTAGAACTGAAGTAGTGTAAAAGCAACAATGCAACTGATGGGAATGTAAACAATTGGGCCCCTTGAAATTACCAAAATTCGTTTTTCAGCTGTAGTTTTTTCATCATAAACTGTACGGAAAAAAAATCCAGATGCAAAATTTAGGTCCTTTTAAGACGTACAGTTTAAGGTATTCAAAGTTGAAATCGGTTCATTTGTTTATCCGTTAAGTTGAAAAAACCTCCAAATATGGCAATTTTTTCAATTGTTTATAACTTTGCAATAAATTAAGCCAAGGTCATGAAACTAAGGGAAGATGTGGCCCTCGCCATGACAAACAAAACGCATTTTTTATTTTTGCGCTGTTAGTGTCGTACGCAAATTGTGGCAAGAGTAAACCAGTAGAAAGTGCTTGGCGACCACACTGAGAGTGACCACACAGCTATACTTTTTACGCTCATGGATGAAAAAAGGAAAAAAGCACTGGCTCGGCTGCGGAAATGGAACATAAAGTCTTTCGACGAGGAGCATTGCCGGTTCAGCAGCCGAGAAGACTCAAAAGCTAATGGGCTTCGTGTCATACGCATACGATGCATCAATGGCTAGATCTACACCTAGGAAAGCCCGGCCCCCAGTGTACTGGTGGAATGATGACATCGCTCATCTGCGCTGTATCAGTGCGCGCAGAACTGCTCAGCGAGTGTGAGTTGACAGAGCACACTACCATTCTCGTTATAAAGAGGCAAGATCGGAGTTGCGAAAAGCGATAAAGTATAGTAAGCATCAATATTGGAAGGACCTACTCCAGTCAGTTGACGACTGCCCATGGGGACGACCATACAAAATCGTTATGAAGAAGCTGCAAAACCAGATCATGCTGTCGCTCACAGACTTGCCCCTGGCAACACAAACAGTGCGGACGCTATTTCAACGCCATTCGGATCGTGGTAGAGACAGCGAGAAGTGCAATTGCCGGCAAACGTTGGAGACGAGGCACTAAGAACTATTGTGCGATAATAATGCTGGATGTGAAGAATGCTTTCAACTCGGCTAGATGGTCGAGAGTACTGCAAGCGTTCATGAACCTGGGGGTCCGAGACTATGTGTTGAAGCTTATCAGAAGTTACTTCAGTGAAAGAATACTATTGTATGATACAGATGAAGGCATGAGGAGGTATAAAGTGACTGCAGGTGTCCCTCAAGGATCCGTATTGGGACCAACTCTTTGGAATATCATGTACGATGGTGTATTGAGAGTCCAGTTTCCCCAAGGTACTAAAATTGTCGGTTATGCTGACGATATAGCAATTGTGGTAACGGTGATGCACTTGGAAGATGTCACACTGAAAGCAAACAGAGTAATTAGAATTGTCCAAGGTTGGCTACAAACAATTGGCCTATAACTGCGCTCTTGCGCGTCATGCTGAACGTCGGAGGACCTAGGCAGTCCCGAAGAAGGCTCTTCGCTTCAGTTGTTGGATCTGTAATCTTATACGCGGCTCCCATCTGGCATGGGGCACTGAACGTCAAGGCCTATTCTAGACAGATCAGCTCGGTAAGGCGACGAATTTGCTTACGAGTTATTGCTGGCTTTCGCACGATTTCAAATGATTCGGCATGCGTCTTCCCGGGTGTGCTACCCTTGGACCTTGAAGCGGACGAAAGAAACAAGGCTTCATAGAATTGGCAATAGAGAAGGCATTCTCTTAGATAGAGATAGAACACTTGAGCGAACGCACTTTTCAGATGATTGGCAGAGATGATGGGCTGGGTCAAAGAAAGGAAGATGGGCAGCAAAGCTAATCCCGGACCTAAGACCATGGGTTCAGCAGGAGCATGGGGAGATGAACTACTATCTCACTCAGCTGCTGTCGGGGCACGGATGCTTCAGGGGATACTTGTGCCGTTTTGGGCATGACGACCTGGTGACTTGCTCTTCTTGTCCTACAGAAGACGAAGATGCAGAGCATGAACTGTTCTGCTGCCCGAGATTTGCGCATGAGCGCGAATCTTTATGGAATGCAGCTGGGTAGCCGATAACCTCGGAAACGGTTGTAGCGTACATGCTCAGCTCGAACTTAGGCTGGGAAGCGGTAAGTTCATTCGTCTCCACTGTAATGAAGCAACTGAGGCTTCAAGAAAGAGCCAGGCATGCTGTTTGAAGTGTGCTAAGTGGCACTTGATGTGCTTAGTGTATGGCTTAAGGGGGCGCCCTGAAACCGAAGAAGAGCGGAGAGTATTACATGAAACTAAAAGAAGGTTTTGTTTCTCAGTTCTGTCTCGGTCACCGGCTGAGGCAGAGAGAGGATATTATTGCGGTTTTCTGACATATCGATGGTTAGGGGGATGCTCTGAACCTAAGGAAGATTAACGAACACATGGTATGTGAAATTAAGATATATGTTCCTCATCGCTGACATCGAGATGATGTAGCGCTGAGAGATTATTGAGCTTGGGCTGATGCTGAGGAACGTAGGCTCTGAGGTTGACTCCCGCCCTTCCCCCGGCCCCTGTTTGACATGCTGCAAACATGGGACTGGGTAATCAACTGGCGGGTGACAATTATGGAACAATCAAGATCCAAGAATGAAAACTGCCCCTGAACCCCGAATCACCGCTTGGTGAATGGGGGATGTATGAACTAGGCAGATTAAGATGCAAGAGTGACGCTGTTATAGGGGTGCCTACGAAATAATGTCTAACGACGGTTCCGGTGGGATGCCTGATTTCACAGGGGCCACTGTCTGCAGAGTTTACTCTGTCCACATCTGACAAAAAAAACACACACACATGTAGAGACATAATGTGTGTTGATTGTATTGCTAAGTTCAACATTTTTAAAATTTATTAATATGTTATTATAGACAAATAATTTTACTCACAGAGTTCAGTTTAGAAAAAAATCTGAATTAATAATTAAATTTTGTCAGATGAGGAACCGGCCTGCGAGCCCAACGGCTTCTTGGACATGCAAATTGACTTCGAAGAATTTAACGTGGCTTTAGAGGATAAAAAGGACAGTGCCTCACCTGGAATGGACGGTGTTAAATTTGGAATTTTCAAAAAGATACAGATAAAATACAAACTCCAGCTATTGGACATTAAATTTCAACAAAATGATTAAGCTCGGCGAATTTTCATACTCTTGGCCAGACGTATTCGTGTATTTTATCAACATTTAAAATAAAAAAAAGTGTGTGGGTGTATTATAAATTTAGAGTATTACATCAAGAATAAGATAGGAACTTTATGTCATCTGAAAATAAACTGCATTTCTTGTCAATAGACATCGAAAAGTTACACGAAAAATGAGTTTTTTATAATAATTTAAGTTAAAATTGATTTTTTTTTTAATTAAAAAAAATACTTTCGATCTAAAATTCAAAATAATACTGTAAAAATATCTTACCTTAATTTTATGAATGACCCCATAGTTATCATTAAAATGTAATCAAATGGAACTAAATAAGCCATGGCCAATGAAATATTTTTGAATGCGACTGAAAAAAAAAATCCTAAAAAAATTATAATAATTAATTGATACAAATACCAATGCTGAAAGTAGTGTGGTCGATTAGATTAGTATTGCTTCTTATTCAATTATCTTTAAAGGCTCATATGGGTAAATCTGCCTACTTTTTAATATTAATTCAACAAAAAACAGTATCTTAATATTGTATATAACTTTTGTTATCGTATAAGCACATTAAAAAATAGTATACTATTTGTCAAAATGACAAAAAGTAGAAATTTTGCGGAAATTTTCGAAATTATTAGGCCCTAAAGTAGTTAAATGTTCTCGTTGCACTGCGCAGTTTCTACTTAAGGGCTCAAAGGGGGCTTTAATAATTATATATTTCTATTTATTGTATTAAGCTGAAAAAGTGAAAAAAAATTTTTTTTCAGAAAACAGGCATAAGAGCCTTTTTCAATACCCCATTTGAAAGTACTTTGTCCAGTTAAGTACTTACAAACACATAAATTAACTTGTATCAGTCTATGACCCTTCAGCGAAGAGCACTGAGTATATCTAAGCTGTTTGTCGTAAGATTCTAAGTGATGGCTTAACACGACTAAGTTCTAGGTCATTTCATTTTCTTCGATGGATCATTATCCATCAACGCAACCTCAAGCTAAATTGTCGTAGAAATCCAAGAGCTAGCATAAATCGATGGTACCCCAATTGGTTTCATTTTGTTCGATAGCCAATTGACCATGATCGCAATCAAAAGCTAGCCATAAGATGAACTGTATCTACTTGTGTGTACAAATTTTTAGAATTTAGTATTCATTTTTTATCATTTTCCATAAATTAATTTCACTTTGCTATATGTACAAGTAGCTACAATTCATCTTATGGCTAGCTTTTGGTTGCGACCATGGCCAATTTGCTATCGAACAAAATGAAACCAATTGGGGTACCATCGATTAATACTTGCTCCTGGATTTCTACGACAAGTAGCTTAGATATGCGTATAACTTGCGTTGAGGGTCAATAACATCATTATTATTGTACTTAACTGTTTCTAAGTATCTAACTGGACAAAATACTTTCAAATAGGGTTTTGAAAAGGGTTATCATGCGTGTTCTTAAAAAAAACATTTTTTTTCACTTTTACAGCCTAGTACTGTAATTGAAAAATGAAAAATAATTAAACCCCCTGTTAGCCCTTAATCAAATTTACCTACTAGTAACGATACATGGCTGTACACTGCAATGGGATCGAGAGGAAGTTTACATGCTCTGGGTAGAGTAATCTATTTTATATTCAATTTTTGATAAATTAAACAAAGAAACATATATTAAGGTTGCTTATCGACAGCCAAACTGCTTTTCCGTACGTTCAACATGTATAAAATTTGTACAAGTTGCTGAAACTCCAGATGTTTTAGAGTTTGAATGGGAGACTTTGATGAATAAATAATCAGTCGCGAATTAATAAAATGAAATAAAGCGATTTATTCGCATGCAAATGAATCAGTAATAATTCGATTAAATTAGGGCCGCACGCACGCTCGCAATGAATACAATAGACATTCGGTCGCTTACTCGTCGCTGACAAAGTCGTCTGCAGGATCCACTCGCACAGGGTTGTCGCTCGAGGTGGATCCGCGTTGGTTCGCTCGCACACAAAGTTCACAAACACAGTTTGACGCTCGGACACGAAGTGAGGGTTCACGCGCTACAACAATCGATCGTAGGTCCCTCGATTATTTATTATCGTCTGCTCGTCGTACTTACTGTACGACGAGCCACGCAAGCTACCTTTCTGTAGATTCAAATCCGCGCTCACGACTTAACGTGCGAATTATAATTCCGCGTTACATCAGATAGGCACCATCATGCTATACACACAGATACAGACAGTCCCAGGAGTTGTTATAAGAGTTAAAACAATCAAGATGTGTTTACTTGAGCTGTATTATTATTTGAATATCCTCAAGACAGCTTCAATGAAAAAGTTGGCTGATGCAGCAAGCGGTGGATTCGTAAATGATCATGAAGTGTATCATACTCGTCCATGAGTTACGTTCTACCTCTCGCAACAAAAAATTATTCATCCAAAGGTTTAGCCACCCAACCATGCACATTTGAGGCAAGACTGAACTCCCTCGTTTAAGGGCTGACACTAACCTCTTTATCTATGATCAGCTATACCAAGAACTTGAAGTGCGAAGACATCAAATAGAAGGATTTATTAGTGAATTCTTGAATTGGTTGTTTGGTCATAGATTATGTGTGAGTTTAAAGTGGGTGCACAGGTCGTTTAGAGCCTGGCATGTACGAGTTACGTCACTTCGTATGTATCGTGTACATATATTGGCATACACACGTGCTTCAGGTAATCAAGATCATTGTGATATAAGCCATGCACACGTAACATCTATAAAGATTGAGCTTGACTCGAACCCAGGGTTACAAATCGGCCCTGCTTAGGACTAACGCTCTGATTGAGTTCTTAAATAAATAAAAGCTTTTTATTCAATTTAATTGGAACGTCTTGGATTAATTTGTGTTTCAAACTTAAGATTCGAACCAAGCACTCGTTTTTTTCAGCAAGTACACAGGAATTTGGTAGTGAGAGTTAGCTTTCGTGTCTCAGTTAACATCAGTCCAAAACCCCGTTTTCATGAGATAAGGCCTCAAGTGCCCTAAAAAATTGAATAAATTGTCGTTGGACGTAAATAAAGGTATCTTACCGGATCTATTACCTGTGGCGTAGCTTAGCGTCAGCAGGGCCCGCAGTGCGGTGGGTCCCAAGCCCTAAAGGGGGCCACGGAGCGACCGCGAAAAAAATATGAGTGTTACAATGAGCCCAACTCTTGTCATTTTTTTACAATTAAAATGCAAGCCCAAGTAACCCCAAGTAATCCCAAGTAACCCGATCGACCTAGCTCGTGAAGATTGAAAATAATTACGTTAAGTATCGAGACGTTGTACCGCGTGTATTGTTTTGGTGCTGCGAATACGTATACGTATACAAGTCTTAACCAGTACTGATACACACTATAGAAACAGCGCTAAGTCAAATCATAGTCAGTAGAAATCAGTCGTTCAATAAGTAAATATTATAAACTGTAATATCATTAACTAAGTGAATATTTTTGAGTGAAAAATGAAACGCTCTCATCCAAGTGGTGCTCAAAGACGGAAAGCAAAAAAAGCAAGAGGTGAAGAAAAATCATCGGAGAATCTTTACAAGTGGGTTATTTAAAAACAAATGATTCTTTTCTCAAATTACCAAGATTGTGGTTGTGCTATTCAAAAGTACTCGAAAAAACTTATTGTGAGATCACCTTGTAGAAGGTATAAATGATTGGCAAGGACTTTTGAAAAAAATTAAAAAACACGCGGCCGCAGCATACCATTGTGATGCATCTCTTCAATACGACATGTGGAAAAATAAAAAAACAATAGACAATTTAGTCGACGTAAATGTTAAGCAACAAATTAATTTCTGGGTTGATCAAGTACTCAAACGTGTAGTTGATGTGATACTAATGTTATCTAGTTGTAATTTGGTTCTACGAGGTCATGATGAAAGAAAAATGAGCGAATCTGATGTGCACAACAGAGGCAATTTTTTAAGTGTAATTGAACTTTTAGCAAAATATGATAGCGTGTTGTACAGTGTTTGAATTTCAGAAAACAAGAGAATCACTTATTCAAGTCCTGAAATTCAAAATGAACTAATTTCATTACTTTCATTTCATATTAAGAAGACCATCATCAAAGATATCCAGGAGAGAAAATACTTTACGATAATTTTAGATACGACTCAAGATATATCTAAAAAAGATCAATTGGGCATTATTATCCGATTTGTGAACATTGATTATGATAGTAATAACAATTTTCGTACTTTCATAGTACAAGAGTGTTTTTTAGGATTTTTCCAAGTTTTAAATCAAAGTGCTGAAGGTTTAGAAACAGAAATTCTTAAGGGGAGGCTCTCATCTAGTGCCTCTAAAATGACTTGTTTTTCGTAATTTTTTTTCACGGAAGGAAGTGAATAATGCAGTCAAGTTTTTTGGTACTTATGAAGTATGTATTTAACTATATTTACAAATTTTTTCAGACCAATACATCGAATTATGTATCCCCTAGCAGCGTTTGAAGGAGGTCGTGTTAAAAAAAGATACCTCAACGGAAGCCATGCTAGCGTCTTGAGTTTTTGTCCGAATCTAAAAATCTGAAGTTCCTCTTAAACTAGATGACATTTGCTGGAGCTTGAACCTAAATAATTGCAAAAAAATTAAAAATTGAAAAAATGGCGGACTTCGGAAATTTTTTTTCCCCTTTTTTGGCTCTTTGAAAGGCTCTAAAAAATAATAATAATGAAAAAATTTAAAATTTTATAGGTTCAAGCTCCAGACAATTTAATTAGCTTTAAAATAAAAAAATAAGAGTATCTGTAAGTGCAGTAATTTTTGAGATATCATGGCTCTTGATTCTGAAAACATGGTTTCGAGAAAAACTCTTTAAAGTTTTAGAAAGCGAATGTACTTACATTAGGGTGGTCCACTTTTTCAAAAATTTTTTGTATCTCGGGGGATCCATCGGAATCAGAAAGTTTGAGGTTTAAAATGAATTTTCCCGTAAACTAGAGCTCAAAAAAATGATTTTAGATGGTGTCGATGGATTTTTGAAGTTTAAAAACGTGCTCAAAAAAAGAAGCAAAATCGGGCTTTCATTCGATTTATTTCAAAATCTGTTTAGAGTGTAAAAATAATCTTGACAATACATTTTCTTATGTGTTTTTGTCTGCAGAATCGAATGCCGTAGTCAGTTTTGACCTAGAAGCTGAATTTCATTCAAAAAAATACACTTTTTCGATCGTTCTTTTTCGCAAATTCCGCAAAGTTCATTTTCAAGCGAGTGGCAAATGAACAGAAAAAATCTAGAAAATTTTTTGACACCACCAAAATTTAGGATTTTTTATGACGAATCCAATGGTATAAATTAGTATACACTTTGAAATTATTTTAATGCAGAAAAATACAACTTTATCCCAAAAAACGACATTACGAAAAATTGAAAAATCGAAAAGTGTATTAGTTTCTTCCAGGAAATGGCTAAGTAGAATCAACTATGGAAAAAATTGCATGAAACTATCTGATAGGTTTTTTTCTCACCTTTCCAACGCCGGTTTCAGAAGTTAAAAATTCGCAAGATTCGCTGAGATACAGCTATTTTTGTACGATGCATTTTTTAGCTTAAATTCTGCTTCGCAGGTTTTTTAATGAATAGAGCTAGCTCAGAATTATTGAATTTTAAGCCTAAAAAATGCATCGTACAAAAATAGCTGTATCTCAGCGAATCTTGCGAATTTTTAACTTCTGAAACCGGCGTTGGAAAGGTGAGAAAAAAACCTATCAGATAGTTTCATGCAATTTTTTCCATAGTTGATTCTACTTAGCCATTTCCTGGAAGAAACTAATACACTTTTCGATTTTTCAATTTTTCGTAATGTCGTTTTTTGGGATAAAGTTGTATTTTTCTGCATTAAAATAATTTCAAAGTGTATACTAATTTATACCATTGGATTTGTCATAAAAAATCCTAAATTTTGGTGGTGTCAAAAAATTTTCTAGATTTTTTCTGTTCATTTGCCACTCGCTTGAAAATGAACTTTGCGGAATTTGCGAAAAAGAACGATCGAAAAAGTGTATTTTTTTGAATGAAATTCAGCTTCTAGGTCAAAACTGACTACGGCATTCGATTCTGCAGACAAAAACACATAAGAAAATGTATTGTCAAGATTATTTTTACACTCTAAACAGATTTTGAAATAAATCGAATGAAAGCCCGATTTTGCTTCTTTTTTTGAGCACGTTTTTAAACTTCAAAAATCCATCGACACCATCTAAAATCATTTTTTTGAGCTCTAGTTTACGGGAAAATTCATTTTAAACCTCAAACTTTCTGATTCCGATGGATCCCCCGAGATACAAAAAATTTTTGAAAAAGTGGACCACCCTAACTTACATACATACATCGTTCGCTAGTAAAAAGACAGCTCCGGTTTTTTGCCTATAACTTTTTAACCAAATCGATTTTGGTAAAAAGCGTTTCGGGGGTGTATTCTACGGGACATTTGCTAACTAAGTAAGCAAAAAAAGAACGATTTTTTGATCGAGTCTCATGAGAGCCTCCCCTTAATATATTAAAAGAATATAATATAAAAATTGAAAATTGCCGTGGTCAAGGATACGACGGAGCTAGTGTAATGAGTTGTTTCGATTCCGGGTTGCAAAAACGTATATCCGATATGCAACTTAAGCACCGTACGTTCATTGCGCAGCTCACAACCTAAATTTATTTTTAGAAGATTCTGTTAAGTCTTTAGCAGTTATGCAAAACTTTTATGAAACTGTTCAAAAGCTATATACATTTTTTAGTGCCAGTTTTAAACGTTGGGATATATTATTCGAAATAATGTCATCTAATGCATTAAAAAATCCGGTAGTTAAAAAATTATGCGCTACTCGATGGTCTTCTAGATATGACGCTATTAATACGAGGTTTATAGACTATTACCGAAGCATTTTTGAACTAATATTGAATCAAAATTAATTTTTGTGAAATTTTTATCATAACCGAGTTTTATTTTCATCTCAGCTTGAAATATCCTAGTTTCTTTTTGCGCTTTGAAAAAAATGTTCGGTTATTAGATTATAATTAATCAAAATTTTGTTACATACCGCATGCACTTGAAACATTTATGGTCAAAATAACTATCATGATCGTTTCCAGCAATGATATAATCTGAGGAACAAGTCCAGATAGTATACAAACTATAAAAGTAAATATGACGGATTCAATCACTAGCCCTGGAAACTAATGGAAATATGAAGAATTTGTTTTGGAAAGAAATAATTAATTATATTATATCTTACCAATGTCAACACTTTGGATATGTAATATTCTTTTACAGAAAACATACCAGTCTTGTATTCTCTTAAAAAGAGAGGAAGTTCTTGCGGGATTAGAGACAGTGTACTGTACATCGGAAAAAATGTATTTTCAGATACTAAAATAAATATAACCCCTTGTGTAGCTTGTATACCCAGCTGATCCAAGTTAATAGAGCCGAAGAAACATAAACCAGAAATGATAGCAATCATCTAAAAAATAATATGCATATAATTATATATTTAATCATCATTATTAGATGATAATCATAAACCGAAACAGTTAGTGGGGCGAGGTACTCGCGGCTCGATCGCGTTGTGTGAAATAAAGCATTATAAGTCGCGTTAAGTACGTGGCTGGGTGACCGTCTGGAAACCCATTCCGTCAAGCCCATAGCGCCCTTACGCATCGCTCAGCAGTGTTTGCCAGCGTCATTGTGTGCTAGCGGGAGGTGCCATAAAGGCACCAACCAACTCCGGTATGGGTTTTTCTCACTGAGTTGTTCCCCATATCATGGGCACAACCCCGGGCAAATGCGAAAATAGATGGATGGAAGGATCAGAAAAGGATAGGAAAAATACAGGAAAAGAATAGGTAAAAATGGTTCGGGTGAAATGGAAGGTAAAAAAGTGATAACAAAAAATTAAACCCCCCCCCCTTTACCCCGCCCCCCAATATATATATATGAGCAGTTTTTTCATATATGTACAATTTTTGTGCGGGGGGTTCTCGGATCTGCCCCAAAATTTAGTATGTTATTTGGGTATGTAAAAATAGGCTGCAGGTAAATTTTTAGCCCTCTAGGGGTCTTAGGACCCAATTTTGGGTCCCTCGAAGGTCCAAAAATAGCCGTTTTTACCAATTTTTGCGTATTATTCAAATATTTGTAACTAAGGCACTGGAGCATATTTTTTAACTCTCACGGTCGCATTTTTTAGGTCAAGGTATGTACTTTTCATAAAAAAATTATGTAGAGCTCGATAACCCCACCCCCGGTTATGGAAGGGCAATGAAGGGGGATGAAAAATCGCAAAATTGTCGTTTTTTACCTTTTTTTGAATTAATGTAGAAGATGATAGGATTGACATATTGACTTTTGTAAGGTCTGATTTTAAAGGTATTTTCATTACCTTTAAAGTGCTGTGCCCAGATTTAAGATTGGTTAAAACATGACAGAGATAGAGCTGTTTAAAGGTGCGAACATTATGAAAAAAGGCGTTTTTTCGAGATTTCGATGAGCTGTAACTTTTTTCTAGTAACATGAACCTCTTTGAAATTTTATGTGAAAGTAGTTGATTACATGTAGTTTGTTACCTGCAGCCTATTTTCACATACCCAAATAACATAATAAATTTTGGGGCAGATCCGAGAACCCCCCGCACAATAGTTGTACATATATGAAAAAACTGCTCATATATATTCATGTATTTAATCATCATAATAAATTAATAAAACGATACATTATGAATTGAATTTTTGATTTGACCCATAACATTTCATATCGGATATGAAGGATAAAACTACTTGAATTGGAAATAAAATAATATCACTTCAAAATGAAATATATTTAAATTTGATTCCTTTTTTTATCCCATCAGATACCGTTGAAATGAATATATACATTTTGCAGTGTAATAGTGACCAAATGTGTAAAAATTTATAAGTTCTAGATAAGTATATAACAATGCCTAATAAGTACGAAAATTTAAGTGTTTTAGAATTTGTCAAAACTATTACAGCCGTAACATTGCAACACAGAAACAATAATAAAGAAAAAATTGTTATTGTTTATACGAAATGAGTATGAAGCGATCCTGAGATTACTGAATTGTATTACAACAATATATGTTACAAATACCGTTCTGGAGTGTAATAGCTGGACGGGAGCATGCCCGCGAATAAGATAATAATAACCGAACGGACCACGCATACAAGCATGCAAGCAGCAAGTGCGAGCGCACCCGCTGCCGTATACGCGGGCACGGGTGCACCAGCACTCATACGAGCGGGCAGCAAGTGCGCGCACACACATACGCCACCGCAGAGTGTGTGCGGAGGCGTAAGAGGCCTCACACACACGCGCCGCAATGACAACGGGCGCACCGACATCGAAGAGTAAGTGCGCACATGCACGAATGTCAACGCAGAACGAGCATAATGGTACGAGCGGCCGCGTACACAGATATAGCAGTGCCGCGCACACAGACACAACAAGGCCGCGCGCACAGACACAGCAATGCCGCGAGCAGGCACAGCAGGGCCGCAAACACAGACACGCCTATGCCGGCGCAACTATCATACGCAGAAAAGTACACTAGCGGATACAGAGCCGCGAGGCCGTAACCACTCGCACCGGCACGGTCGGAGTTGCGTATGACAACTCGACAACAACGAGGGCCCGCACGAGCAAGCTGTATGTATATACTCCAGCATAGATCGATATGACGCATGGGCAGAAAGGAACGGATGAACGCGCAATCAAAGCTGATACACATGTGACAAAAACCATCACGGAGTTGACTACAGGCCGAATCGCGAGGAAGAGCGAAGGTAATAATCGTTAGGTAGCATGTTTACGATCTTAAGCGTAAGACGGCCCAAGCGAAGCTCTTTGCATCCCGTCGATCTATCGATGACAAGGCCGCGCCGGCTGAATTCCAGGAGACGAAGCGACTCGTAGTTGTTTGCTCGCGTACTCCAAGTCTCGCAAAGTCAAAAACTATTCGTGACATCCCAAAAACAAGAGCAGCGATAACAGGCTGGGTAGCGAGCAAGAGCGGAGGCAATAGCCATTAAATGTCATCTTTACGATCATAAGCATAAGACGGCCGTAGCGAGCTTCTACATCCCGCCGATCTATCGATGACAAGCCTGGATCGGCTAAATTCCAGGAGGGAAAGCAATTTGTAGATTTCGCGCGAGGCAATTCACCGATAAAACAAACTTGCGTGAGCCAAACGAATGAAAAATTGCAGTGCTCCTCGATCTAGCGGAGATTGAAATGTCCTCCGACAAACATGTGCAAGTCGTGCACGGGACCAGGAGATGGGACATAGTCGGTTTATGTTACTATCTGCCCAGATTTTTCGATTGTCTCTGCTGTTGGGAGGGTTGGCAGTTCGCCAAATACTAGTTGGAAAGGCTGAAACTGATGTGCCTCGTGCACCGACGTATTGTAACTGAACATTGCCAATTCCAGTATGTCGTCCCATTCTTTATTTTTCCCTGCTACGTTCTTAAGGTACTCCGCGAGCGAGTGATGTGAACGTTCGAGGGAGCCATTTGAGCTTGGTCGGTAGGCCGTGGTCGTTACCGTTTTGATTTTAAATGCTTTGGCTAGGTTGACGAAAACTTTTGATGTGAAATTGGTACCTTGGTTCGACAGGATGATTTGTGAGTAGCTAAATATACAGATAAATTCCTTCAAGAATGCATCCTTTACTGTCTCTGCGGTGGCATCTTGCAATGCTATTGCTCTGCAGAATTTGGTGAGGTTGCATTGTATAGTCAGTATGTTGTTATTGCCCTTTTTGGTTCTCGGGAGTGGTCCGACGATATCTATTGCCACCTTTTCCATGGACTCGTAAGGGGTATCGCTGATCACCATTGGTTGTCTCACCTTTTTGCGCACTAGTTTCTTTAGTTGGCACGTGTCACATCGCTGTATAAATTTTATTATGTCGCTTTTCATGTTTTTCCAATAATAGAGGGGTTTCATGCGTCTCATTGTTTTTGAAATTCCCTTATGGCCTCCGATTGCGCTCGCATGCATGTCTCTCAACACCCGCTGTCTTTCTTGTAGCGTCACAATTTTATTTCCCCTTTACATATTATTATTTTGGCTTCAATGTCGACGAATAATGTTTTCAGCGTGTTTGCAACGCGAACCCATGGTACATGGCTTATTTCCTGATTTTTCGCGATACTTATTGTATTAATTCCGAGTTTTCCTATTAACGCTTTTAGTACAAGTAACCCCTTCTCTATGTTGTTGATTACACACGGAGTGCTATCGTTGTTTTTCTCGATGCAGATAGCGAATTCTATCGACTTCTTTCTTTTTATAATTGTGACTTTTCCGGGATCGGATTTAACTGTTTTTTATCTATTCTGGCTCAGGAGCTGTGCTGCTCCTTCATCGGTTGCTCTGCCGTGCAATCTATAAAAAATGCATAATTATCTTTTCTCATGAACAGTTTTTCTCTACATTCAATTAGTATCTTTTCGATTACGATTTCGTTATCGCATTTTTCGAAGTCCTCATCGTAGTTAATTCGGTGCTCGTCTATCGCGTATTCCTTGGGTTGTTCGGATGCCTCCGCTGGTGACTGGACGATCGTTTCCTCTGTATCGTCTTTTTGTTCTTGCTCTTGCGTGATGGTTTCTATTTCGGGTTTCTTTCGTTTTTTTACATATTTTTTTGTTACCCTGTAGTTAGGGGGTGCGGTTTTAGTCGTGCGCGCTCTCGTGACCACATTTATGTTTTCCGTCGTGGGGTTTCGTGACAAGCAGTCCGCTACAACGTTCGTTTTTCCGGGTTTGTAACGTATTTCATATTCATATTGACTTAATTTAAATTGCCAACGGCTTACGTGAGGATTGGGATCCGTAGATTGTCTAAAGTATAGCAGGGGTTTGTGGTCCGTATCGTACTTTTGCTCGACGTCTGAGAGTGCGCGTGATACATAACCTATCGGCATTTCTATCTTGTCCTTCAATTGGGCTAGGTAACCTCCGATTTCCAGTTTTGACGCGTCCGATGTCACGATATAATCTAGGTTTGGATTTACTACTTGCAGTATCGGACCTTTGCATAGCAAGTCTTTTAGTTTGTCTAGTGCTCCCCTGTTCTTTTGTAGCTCAGTGAGCGGTTTGGCAATATTTGCAAAATTTCTAATGAAGCGTCTGTAGTATCCTGCAAGGCCCAGGAATTGTCGTACCTGTTTGACATTTTTTGGCGTTGGGAACTTTCTCACCACGTCTAATTTCCTCGGGTCGCATCTTACTCCTTCCTCACTCAGTACATGTCCTAGATATACCACCTCTGTTTTTAAAAAATTACATTTTTCTGGTTGTAATTTGAGGTTTACTTCCCTTGCCCTGGCTAAAAAATTGTGTAATTTGACGTAGTGTTCTTCTTTTGTGTTTGAAAAAATTGCGGCGTCGTCGAGGTATAAGAAGATGTCCTTTTGTTGTTATCCTTTAAATGCTA